TGCTCAAAATCCCAAGAGGAGAATGGAAGTGAAGGGACTGTGGCATAGCCATCTGCTTTGGGTAGTGATTTCTCACTTTATGTCTCTCTGTCTCTCCAGCAAGTACACATACCTTATGGCAAAAATCTCTCTCTAAAAAATTAAAGACAGAGTAAAAGAAATGATTGGCCTAGAGTTGAGTATCTTATCCAAGTGAGGCCAATAAATCTTAGAATTATTTGCAAATGGAGCACACAGGTAGATTGTGTGCTCCATTTGCAAATAAGCAAATGAGCAATGAGAGGCTGAGCACATTACGTGGATAGTCCTACTCCTAGCCTCCTTCTGATGACTTGAATAAAATGAGTAGAAGTCAGATAAAAACAATAAAAATAGAAAAAAAGGCAAAATGACCATTTAGGATTTAGAAAAAATGAGGGACCTCATTTTTGATCTGTTAGTGTTCTAGCACTCCTCAGGCCTGAGTGCGTCCACATTTCTATTCTAAGAAGTTTTTGAGAATTAGATTCTTACACACTGCCCTCTTCTATTTCACTGACCTAGTTGGAGTGGATCTTGTTGAAGAGGACAAAGCAGTGGCTAGAACAAACTACTTTTAAGATGGCTACTACAGAGTAGGGTTGAATTCGACTTCAAGAAATGCACTTTCCTGATTGACTTCCCGCCTGACTTCATTTTACATATTAGATCTTGTCTTACTGACTGTCTTTGTATGTTGCCTCGAAACTCTGTGGGAACCAGGCAAGGCGTGCATGGAAAAGTAAGTAAATAAATTAAATATCTGCTGATACTGTCTTTTCCCAGTACTGATTCATGGCGAAGGCGGAAAAGGTCTAACCTGGAGCTTGGAGATCATTGCAGTGGTGCAACACGTATGGTGTGCTGGGAATGTAAGATGAGAGCAGTTTGACAATTATCACCCCATTATCAATGACTCCTAAGGGCTGCAGGTGAACGTCCACAGTTCTCTCCCTGGCAGTCAAGATTTTCTGTGATCTAGTCTAACTCAGCTTTTCAAATTGTATTTCCTGCTGTTTCTTTTCACATATCCTACAGTGTGGTCAAAATGAAAAACTCATGCCTCATAATTTCCACCTCTCTCTTGCTCATGCTGCTTCTTTCTAATGCTTGAAATGCCCTTCCTCTAGCACAAGGTATCTGAAATCTCTCCATCCTTCCTATTTTGATGTGAATGCTGTACTTTCATGAGACCATCCCTGGTATCTTTCTTTCTCCTACGTTGCTATCTCCTCCCTGACCCCAGCTTATCAGAAACGGTCTCTTCTTTCTCTGAGCTTCCAAAGCATCTGCTGTGTTTTCCTACTTTCTATTTTATTTTTTTAATCTCTTTTTTTTTTTTTGAAGATGTTTTTGCTATACAGTGTGTGTGCTCGCCAGACAGACAGAGAAACAGAAAGCGAGAAATCACCCCCCGGGGGGAGGGCCGCGCGGCAATCCCTTCTCCTCTATTTTCCTCTACGGATCTTGGGCATGCACACACATGTGCCCAGCATGAGTTTTAAGCCACTGGGTCCGGGGTGCGAACTGCAGTCGACTACATGGGAGTCCAGCGACATAGCCATTACACTAACTGCTGGTCCCTCTCTATTTTTAACTTGCATCTCATTTGTTCAAGTACATGAATCAACACTAAATTCTAAACTTGAGCAAGCAGCCTCGTTATGCCTCAGGCAACCATGTCCCTCATACAAGGTAGGAGGTGAACACTGTGTAAGATGTTGAATGGAGCTTTTCCTAATGTCTGGGGAATTTTCCTGAGCCTTGTAAATGGGGACAATGAATGGCAAGTGCCAATTCAGTGTAGAGAGAGATGATTGCCATCCCTCCATAGTACCTAGTAAGAGACACTCGTGTTTATTCTTTGACTCTACTGTGCATGCCTCCCCACCTCTCCATTACCTGTGTACAGACTATGCAAGAGAAAATTATAGAGGTTATCGAGAGATTCCTTAAAGGAGATTGCTAAGAAAAGCACAAATTGTAGTTTTCTTCTCAGTATTGCCATAACCCAATGAAGGAAATTTATAAAAATTACTCTAGGAGAGACTAGAAGTGGTGTTGAAAGGGGCTGGCTTTACTCGCTCTTCCCCTGTTGTTATAACAGAGGCCAGAAAGGGGGCAGCAGTGAGAGCAAGTTACACATCGACTGTCTGGTAGGTGAAGTAGAAGCCACAGAAATGAGCCAGGCTACAGCTGTCCTGGAAGGCATCTGCCTAGGGTGGCAGCCTGTTGGGGATGCAAGGACCAGCAGTGGAAAAAGGATTTGTGTCATGTACCAGCAGGAAGCAGCTGTGTCAAAGAATCCTGAGTGGTCGGAGGGAGAAAGGGAGTGGTCCAGTCCAGATCAGCCCACAGAGAAGCTCTGAAGAACTCGCCAGTGAGCCTGTGAAATTGTCCAAATTTAAGAAGCCTGCCATGTGAGAGGGCATCTGATAGGAGAGAGCTGCTATACCTCTCTAAAAGGCAATTGCTCTTGTTATTATTATTTCTGGAGGCAGAGATAGAGAGTAGGTACCACAGGGAAGTAAAGAAGCGACCATGGTCAGGGGCCAGCAGATGGCGTAGTAGTTACATTGCTGGACTGCCACAAGGCCGACTGTGATTCAAGTCCCGGACCTCGTGGCTTGAAAATCACGCTAGGCACATGTGTATGTATCCCCAAGATCCCAGAAGGAGAATGAAGGAGAAGGGATTGCAGCATGGCCATCCTCCTCGGGAGTGATTTCTCATTTCCCTCTGTTTCTCTTTCTCTCTGGTGAGCACACACTCCCGAAGGCAAAAATCTCTTTAAAAAAATGAAGAGACCATGGTCTTCTCTTTCACTACTTGTTCCTGCCACGGGTCAGGCTTATTCTAGTGGAAGAAAGCTTGGAATTGGATAAAAACATGAAATGTAAATGTGGATTATCTGGAGTTTTTTACATCTGAAGATGAGGTCATTCTAAAACCTGGAACTGACCAGAGAATTATGGGCCTGTCAGAAGACAGAGCTTTCAGAGACAGGAAAGCAATAAAGTGTTTGAAGGAAGGGGTAAAACAAACAAACAAAAATAGCTATTTCCTACTTCTCCTCTCACCTTCACCCACCTCCCCTGAGATCAGCCTATCTACTGAACCAGCTAGACCTTCATTCAATAATAATTGGATAAAGTCCTATCATGCTGGGAGGACCAGCAGAGGATACCACAATTGTGTCACTGGACTCCCACATGGTCAGCTGCAGTGTAAGTCCTGGATCTGGTGGCTTGAGACTCACACTAGCGTGTGTGCATGCACACCCAAGATCCTGGCAGGAGAATGGAGGGGAAGGGATTGTGGCATGGCTGCTTCCTCAGGGAGTGATTTCTTGCTTTCTCTCTGTCTCTCCAGCAAACACACACACCCTATAGCATAAGTCGCTAAGAAAAAAAAATTAAAAAGCTTTAACATGTCGTCAAAACCTCATGCTTCTGATCTGCCACCCAAGCTCTTTTTCCTCCCAGTGGTATGATGGTTCAACCAGGAACCCACTCTCAGACGAAAGGTGAAATTTCTCAGGGTGACCAGCTGGCCTGAGATCAACAGGCTCATCATTTTGGAAAGACTAAAGTAGCCCCGCCACCATGGTAGTCACATTCATAACTAATTATGCATGTAAATGCTCAAAATAACCCGCTCAAGGTCATATAGCAACCCTGAGACAAGACTGGTACGACTGCCCGAGTTTCTGGATTTCAAATGATACGAGTCTTCTCATCCGCATACTGGTTCTCATCGAGCACTCGCTAAGTTAGTCCTCTCAGAAGGGAAGGGGAGGTGTGGTGTGAGCTCAACCATCTGGTAAGGAGTGCTGGGGCTGTCCTGCAGTGCAATGCACACCTTATGAGCGGCCATTTTATCTGATCCTCACAACTCCATGCTGGCATGTTAAGTGAGGAAAGAATTTATTTCATAAACAGTTTCCCAGTGGTCACGGACACAGGGAGTGGTAGAGGATGGCCCTGGCCTTCCCCTCCTGGCCACTGCCTGCCAGTTTAGTTCTTGGAAACTCCTGGTGTTCCTTTTCCTTTTTAGCATGATTCACAAGTAAGTCACGTAAGTTGGTCCAAAATATCCAATACTAGAAAAGTAATATCCTTGATTCCAAAGTATCCAGTCATGTGAATATTAATAATATATAGAAAACTATTTTTATGAACTATAAATAGACATTTAAATGCTAAGAACTAAAATTAATATTGGTTCTATCTCTGACACTTTGAAAATCTGTCATTAAGGTGACATGATAAATGACTTCAATATGAGTTTCAGGTTTTAAGATGCTACATGAAATCCTCTAGGTTATTAATGTACCTGCATTGCCTGGTGTTTTATCTGTTACTTTTCATAGCACTTTCATTGTTGAACAAGGAAAAAGAGATGACAATGTCATTCGTTTTCTTTGCTCTCTGTTGAGGCAGTCACCTTTCTCGCGTATTAAGAGTTAGTACCAAGCCCTGAGTTCCTTGATAGAAAATACTTCATCAGTGTCCTCTCAAAGGAAGGAAACGAGCAATAGCTGCTGTAAGCCACACCTTGCCTTTGAGAGAATCCTACTAAAATAAAATGCTAGCATTTGTTCTCACACGTCAAAGACTTAGCAAAAATCCGGTTTCATGACACTGTGAGGCACAGCTGAATAATGGAAAGTGACCTTTGGATTTAAAAAAAATTCTCCTTCTAGATTTCTTATTCATTTTTCTATGGGCAAGACACAAACCTCCAAAGAACTCAGAACATGTTGACAACTTTCTGAGGCTAAGATCTACTTATTATTAGAATATTTTAACACCATGTCTGAGAACTTCAACCCTCTACTAACCCCCAACATCACGTCTGACAAATCCATATGTAACGAGGTTCTATTTGTTAGGATGACTCTCTCAGACATTCTTATTCGTGTATTTCTAGAATTTTATAAATGCAAGGAGTATAGTTTATGTCGTTGTTAGAAAGCTTACTTGTTAGACAGACCATCAGAGTAATGGCTACATCTTGCATGAGATACTGGTAATTCCCAAAGAGTTGTAGTTGCTGAAAAAGAAAGAAAAAACGTAAATGTAAGTGTGGTTGCTGCCCTTGTAGCATTTCATCAGTATCGTCACTCATTTCTAAGTTGTTAAGAGACAACTCTTATTTTTCTCCCCTCTGCAGAAAAAAAAAAAACAAAAAAACAAAAAAACAAAAAAAAAAACCTTACCTAAAATCATTTTCATCACACTGGAAAGAATGAGACCAGAGCACTATTTCCCAGTGTTTAACTTAATTCCATATTCGCAGTGAAAGCCAGTCAGTTGGGAACCATCCTCCTATTGGCCACATTGTTTCTGGCAGCTGTAGTCTTGGTCTGGGCACCGAATTCTCAACATGAGATATTAAAGCCCAAATGTTCTCTCAGGAACCTCGAACTTCAACGTTCAACTCCAGGCCTCAGTTCCTCCTCCAGGATCACTCTCCATCCTTACCTATGGATTGAGTTCACAATCCAGTTCTCCTGGAGTCCATTCTCTTTCACCAACAGAACAACGGCCCCTATGCTGAGTAAGCCCATTGCGAACTTTGGTCTGGTACCTCTGCCTTTCTAAGCTTTGTGTAGATAGAGAACTCCTTTGACGTTCACAGTTATGGAGTTGGAAGTAGAAAGTATAAAACACAAATCATCATTCTCCAGGAACATGCCTCACAATGCCTTTTGTAGCAAGGCCTGTTTATCTGCTTTGTGTCTGTTGACTAAGTGCTAAATGATAATCTGGGTCTGTGCACATTACAGATTAGATTTATGTACATGAAAAATATTGCTGACCCTTAGAGGGTGAACCCAGGCCTGGAAGTTACCATCAGAGTAAGGTCTTGGTCAGATGGTGCCGGGAGTCTTATTGAAGTCATAGAAGTAAATGACTTCAGACTGGACTCCGGAGTCTTCCTTTGAGGCATTGAAAGGAGGTTTGCTTTCACATATTTGAAAGGCTGTAGCAGGTTCCCCAGTGTCCTTCAATCTCCAATTATTTCTCTGTTTTTCTCTTTCTTTTTCATATGCCTTTTTGCCCCTTAGAATGCTAACATTACATACATGCAGGATAAGATAGAGAAGGAAAAATTTCCAACAGAAGATTTGGTTTTCATTCTAGAAGTAGCTTTCATAAAACTATGGAGAGTTTCAGTCAGCTCAATATCCCAGAAACAGATATGGGCCAATGGTGAGACCCAATTTGCTTTTTAAACTGGGACAGAACCTGAGTCTAGATTTCCTGATTCCCATTCCAGTTTTGTTTTTCCCCACCCTTTGGCCTTCTGTATGTGATCCTTACGATAGCCTACCAGATGCTGTAGTCGTGGGGTCTTCTCATTCAGCACTCACTCTCCCATGAGGCAATAAGATAATCCCCTTCCTATTTGGGCCCTGTTGAATTATTTTACTAGAGAGGGAGCTGTTATTGGACTAATAAAGGTTACTTTCAACCTATATAGTTCTTCCATATAGCTAGTTAATTCTTAAATGGTTAACATTATCATTTAATTTTAAGAATCTCTATTTAGTTGTAAAGAATTGCTAATCCTTGACTAATGATACATCTGACTGTGTACATTCTGGGTAGTTTCAGACATAAAGCTCCAATGTAGGAAGATTTTAGCATTTTAGTCCTTCAAAGTCAAATTTAACAACTTTTCTTCCTTTTTATCTCTTCTTAGTCTTTGGCCAAAAATATTCCACAGTTGGAGACTGATCCATTTCCTGCCGAGTTATATTTAGGCTGCTCTGAAACTCTCTTTATACTCAAGTTAAGAAGCAGGGACTTGGAGAGGTCAAGAGTCTCCCATTATCCAGAAGAAAACAACAGCCTAGAAAACTGATCCGTATCTACTTATTTCTAGCTCCTTGTTTCATGCGCAGTTATACCAGGTTTCCATGTTTGTAGACACCTATTTTGAGAAATGTCATTTATTTATAAAACACTAAATCCTGTGTAGGAGTAGCATCCTGAAAAATAAATCAGGGCTGTAAATGCAATTAGAACTGGGAAGAAGTACTTTTGGTTCATACCCAATAGAGCAGTGATGTACCAATAAACTGGATTATGCCATACATGGTCAAGTACTTAAACACCCCAAAGGATGAAACCAGAGCAGCTCGGCCTTCCCTGTATTGAAAAAAAAAAAAACAAACAATAATAATAACTGGTTATGCATGATATAAAAGTCCCAGTCTCAAAAGGAGTTTGATTTTTAATAGCTTGTTAACATATTTTCACTTAATTACTGATTATCCCCTCCATGATCTATTTAACTACTCAATCATTCATTCTACATTTCAATCATTACTTCATTCACTGACTCATTGACTCCTTTTATTTAGGGCTCCTGAGTTACCAGCATTAAGCTAACAGTCACGGCAGACATAAAATGAACCAGGCACAGGCCTTGTTTTCGACAAGCTTTCTGGGAAGTAGGGAGATTACCATGTAGATTATAAACACAACGCAATATGACGCTCAAGTGTAAACTGTCAAGCTTTGATTTGATGTGACTCATTACGTCTGAACAATATGAGCTCCTGAGAATTGTCCTGTGTGTGTTTTAGAGGCTCATAGAGCCCAAAAGCTCAAGGATGGGTGTTTTCACATTTCAGGATGTAACTCTAGTACTTGAGATGAAAAGGGTTTCATAAGCGTCGATGTTCCAGGATGAACCAGGCAAATAATCTGAGCTGACATGAAGATCAAGAGATAAGGTGACATTAAAAACTGCAGCTTAAAAAGCAGAAATTCCCTCTTTAGAAAAATTCCATTTTAGCAGTTCATCCTTTAACTGAGATATGGTTGGATGGTGGATATGACAAGCAAAGTAAAGACAACGGGAAACAGGAACATATGATGGGGGAATAGAGAACTCTGCAAACCACCCCTCCTGTGGTCTCCCCTAGTCAGGGCAGAAGCAAATCCACATGAGAGGTGACCTACATTCACTTTGTTCCTACTCCCCAGTATCCTGGGCACCTGCTCTGCTCAAAGACACTGTCAACAGAACAGGAACTTTAAAAGGAAAACCTAAAAGCCCAACTGCTAGCCACTTTGTAGCAGGCAAGATGAGAGGATTAGCATGGAAAATGGGCCAGGACTCTCTGGATAGAGGATCCCACCAGGCTGGGAGGTGCTGTCATTTGTGTTCAACACAGAGAATGGAGCAGAGGACAAACTGGAGAGGGGCAAGCATGTGAAGCCTGATTGTTTCTCCATGTCTGACATGAGCATTGTATTTTCATCCTTTCTTTTCCACAGTTGTATATATTTCCAGAAAAAGTAAGACACCCACATTTAAATGAAAGTACAAAAAAAAAAATCAAAGGAAAAAAGGTGTTTGCATAGGCCTCTAAAATTACTGCCATTTCTGATGATTATGAATCTTAAGTAGCTCATGCATTTATTTATGTATCCCACAGCCATTGAATGTTCTGATACACCCAGGTTTGTACAAAGCACGAAAGCACGATGCTTGATGGAGAAAAGAATCAGACAGCGTCCTTGCCCTAAAGGACTTGGACCATAATAACAAGTACATCACGTCTCAAAGGATAAAATGGAAAAGCAGTGGATCTGGACCTATGCAGCTCAAACTGCTCCTCATTGCCCCTCTGGAATGCTTTCTCAGGAATAAGCATGCATCAAGGAAAGCTAGAGTAAAATGAGACAACAGAGCTGAAACCGAGCTAATGTTCATGGGCCTAGCAAATATAAAAGCAGAGCTTACCCTGAAGTCTCACTAAGCCATCTGCCGCTAGAGAAGTTTTATTTATCGACTTGTATTCTATCACAGCATATCGCATTCATAAACACATTGGGCCTCACATGTGTGAGGGAGAACATCTGAAATGCAGTTCAAATGTTACTGCATTTTTAATGGATCCAGGAGGCACTTCCTGTAATTATCCAGAAGGTCAAACTGGGAGAAGTGCACACCACCTGGCTCTCAAGCTTACCCCCACCGCAACGCCCACCTGAGAAGTTTTCCAACCCAACTGGGATACTGGGCCTTGCATGTTTCAATCACAACCCTGTATCTAAACAGCTCTTACATTCTGGCTCACCCAAAATCCCCTCCTACTTCCTTTCTGTTTATGTAAATTTTATCCATTCTTCACTTTGCAAGTCCTTGCTGAAATCTTCCCTCCTGGCTTCAGTTCTCACACTCTGAATTGGAACTGCTGAAACATTTATTGTATTGTTTGGAAGTTTATTTATAGCAAAATTCTCGTGAACTAGGCGTAAGATTCTCTGTGGTATGAGATCACACGCACATATATATATACATATACATACACATATACATATACATTTCTTTCTTGGAATCTGTCCTCTGAGGCAAGCCTCTCTATCTCATTCTTTATCCTCCACTAGCAGCCATCCTTCCTTCCTCTCTAACTCTCTCTCTTTCTTTTTGCTAAAGGGCATGTGTGCTCACGAGAAAGAGACAGAGTCAGAGAGAAGAGAAGGCACTCCCCACACAGCGATCCCTTCTTCTTCATCTTTAAATTTTGGGACTTTGGACCCATGGCTCACATGGGCCTGATGAGTTCCTCAAGCCACAGGGCCTGGGACTCCCACTGCATTATCAGCTAGGTGGAATCTGGCTGCTTCAACCACCAGTCTGTGTAGCCTCCACTATACTCCACATGTCTAAGCACAGCTTTTAAAAAGTGCTCCATCAATGAAGAGGGGAGGGCAGCATGGCCATCTCCCACTTGCCTCTCACTGTCTATCTCCGACCTGCCCTATGGCAAACATCTTAAAGAAAAAAAAAAAAAAAAGAACTTGATGAGTTGTACTGCTGATGGAAAGTGTGAAGTAGGGTGAGGGTCCTGGGCACTGTCAATGTGTAGGCAGTGTGACACGAACCAAGGTTAAGGCAACAGAGACAGTAAGGAAAAGGCTCGGAGAGATTTGCAAAGATGAAACATAATGCCTGTTTGGTTATGGGTGAAGAAGAGGAAAGAGTTCAAAGTACTTGGAAGTTCCGAATCTTGATGACTGACCCGAAGGACAAATCCTCCTTAGAAGTAGGAAACATGGCAGTTGAGAAGAGCAGCTGTTTTAAGATGGAGGGAGTGCTGATGTTTGGGGTGTGGAAGGACAGAGGTGCAGGCGACCCGCGTTCGGGGAGATTTGTCACGCTGCCTTGCTGGTGTGCAGCTGCCCCTGGTGAGGAAGTTCACGCTGGCACCTTTGGGTCAGTGACTCCTGCAGCTGACCTGTTCATGCCAACGCACCAAGGGACATGCTGGAAAATGTCACGGTTGATTTTCTGTATAAACCTCACATTTTGGTGATGGTTTCCAGACCACTGACTGGGACGATGTCCAGGAGTTGCCCCAAAGTGCCACGGGAAACAACATTTATGAACAAGATATAAAACCCAATTTAAAACAAGCAATTTCTTCCGTGAGTGAGAAAGAGAGACAGCACCCCTAACAGGGTCTCCAAGCCAAGACTCACCCCAGCTTCATCTGGCCCCTGAGTATGGGCACACGTGTGTCTGGTGTGTTAGGGGGCCTCTGGGTGTAAACCTAAAACCTTCCTGTATGGGTCAGCCTCGCAGAATGTGGCATTGCTGAAGTGCCACTGTTCGGTCCTGTTATTTTATTCTAAACTGCATTTAAAGTATAGGAGGGATAAGATCAGAAATAAGAATGGAATGGAATTGAAGAAGGTACACTGAGAAATAAACAGCTCTCATTTCTTGCCCTTCCCAACCATTGCCAATCAACTCTAATATCTTTCATGTGAATGCTTTGCTAGTCATTAATTTTCATTTTGAAGATGTATAATAGTATTGGGGGAAGCTCTCCAATGGAGTATGCCCTTTCTACTTCTTTATCCACCCCCAAGTCCTGAGAGAAATGTTCCAGGACACAGCTAAAGTGCAAATTAAAGGAGAGGAGAAGTAAGAAATGCAGTTTTTAAATACCAAATCAAGCTTCCTGCTGTCCACCTGGCACACCCACCTATCCTTTCAGCCTCAGAAAAAGTCACCTTTTGTGGTTTTTATCAGCAAGCTCAGCAGCACTAGTAACTCCCTCACTGGCGCTCCAATAGCTCGTTGCCCATAACGCTGTTGTGGCACTTACCACTTTAACCTACGACTGAATTCTGTCTCCAGAGCCAGGTAATAAGCCCATAGGTTATGGGGCTGGAAGGGGATAGAGTGGCTTACCTGATAAGATGAGGCACACATTCAATGTTGGCTACTTTTGAGGTAAACGGAGATGCCACAGATGCTTCTTGCTCTGACAGAGAGATGCCTGCATGAGCCATTTTCAAAGCCTGGAATGATAAATTCATGCTAAACCCCTGGCCTCCCAGGCCAGGCTCTACCTGAGGAGGCTATTTTTATATTAGAGAGTTACAATGCTATTTAATCCCATCTCTGGTCTCCTCTTATACTGTCCCTCTATCCTCCTTCCATCTCTGATGCACAAAATCACCAATTAAATAATAATCCAGGAGCAGAAGAATGGTGTGTGTGTGTGTGTGTGTGTGTGTGTGTGTGTGTGCATGTGTGTGTGTAGGTATGCATGTATATTGGCTGTAGGCCAACAAGCTCTTACTGAAATCATGTGGGCCTAAAATGAGATTTTTGGGCTTGCATAGTTCTGTAGAACCACAAAGAACCTGGTACCGTGACTGCTACATACTAAAGGCATATTCAGTGACTATAATGTGAAATCTTTTACTTTATGCTTTATGTGAGACGTAGTTTTATGCATGATTCTTTTTTCCATCAAACAATGAACTTTGTAGGAGGCAGAGACTGTTTCCTTAAGGCATTTGATTTATTAGTTTTATTCAGAATGCCACATAATTAAAGAGAATGGTACTCACCCTAGATTTTATTTTGTTTATTTATTTGTGAGGTTTCTCTTAATTGCCAGAGAATGTATGTGCTTGCCTAAAAGAAGCAGAGAGACAAGAGAAAGAGAGGAAGAGAGCAACCCCTAAATGGAGTGTGGTCATGCTACAACCCCTTCTCCTCCCTTTCTCCTCCCACTGAAAATTTGGGTGCACACACACACATGCAGCCAGCATGTTTTTCAAGAGTCTAGGTTGGGATTTGAACCACAGTCAGTCATTTGAGATCCCTTAACCATTAGGATATGAGGCAAGTTCTCATCCTAGATTTTAAAGAACAGATCAACACCTAACTTCCATGAAGCAGAAGAATTCTAAGTAAATTTCTAATTATGAATGTACCTTTTCATAGAACATTGAAAAAATATTTAAGAAGGAAATAGAAAACAAATATCCAGGTGTGTTTTTTTTGGGGGAGGGGGGTTGTCTTAGGGTATGTGCACTCACTGGAGAAAAAGAGACAGACGGAGACAATGAGAAAGTGAGAAATCAACCCCAGAGAGATGGCTATATTGCAATCCCTTATCCTCCATTCTCCCTTGGGATCTTAGGCATGCATGCACACACACCTGGCCTAAGTTTTAAACTACCAGGTCTGGGATTCAAACCATGGTCATCCATGTGGGACTCCAGGGATGTAGTTGCTACACCATCTGCTGGCCCCCTCTAGTTTTTCAATAAGCTTTGGAAATACAAAGCAGTCTTCCTTTCTTTTTGTCCCATAAATTAGATAGTAAAATATATCCTTAACGTAGGCTATTGTTTCAATCATATTTTTGCTTTGTTGTGTTTTCCATAGGGTGTGTACACTCATTGGTGAGAGACAGAGACAGTGAGAGGAAAACTGAGCAATCACCCCTCAGGGAGAGTGGCCATGCTGCAATCCCTTCGCTTCCATTCTCCTCCAATTTTAGGCATGCACACATATGTGCCTAGTGTGATTTTCAAGCCACTGAGTCTAGGACTCAAACCACAATCAGCCATGTGGGGATGAAGCACCTTAACCACCAAGCCATCTCCTAGTCCCTCAATGGTAATTTTAAAACTCAGAATACAAAACAACTTCTTCTGCTCCTCCTCTTCTTTTCTTCTCCTTCCCCTTCCTCTTCTTCTTCTTTTTGTAAGTTTTACCAGTGGGTATGTGTGTTTATTGGACAGAGGGAGAGAAAGAGGGAAAGTGAGAAAGCACCAGCCATGGCTCACGGTCATGCTGCAATCCCTTCTCCTCCATTCTCCCTTCTTTCATGATTTTGGAAACATACACATGAACCCAGTATATTTCTCAGGCTTCCAACTCCGGGACTTGGACCACATAGTCAGCCATGCTACAGATTGTCCCAACATGTACTGCCTTCTATCGTGCACGAAATCATTTAATTTAGGTTTTTCAGTAGTATATAATAACGCAATACTTTGATCTAAGATTTTGCTAAGTGTAAGAGTTTGGGGATAAAGCCGACTTTAAATATCTATTCCTAGATGGGGTCAGCAGGTGGCATGGAGGTAAGGCAGCTGGATCCCACATGGCTGACTATATAGTTTGAGTTCTGGACCCGGTGGCTTCAAAAAACACACCAGCCACATGTGCATGCATGCCCACAATTCTGAGAGAATAGAGGAGAAGGGATTATGGCATGGCCCTGCCCCCTGGTGGTGCTTTCTCGCTTTTTTTCTCTCTCTCTGTGTCTCTGTCCTGTACCCTAGAAAACTAAAACAACAACAAAAACAGAAATAAACTAAAAAGACACACACACACACACAACTAACCCCAGAGTGGAAGTTTAGCAGGAAAAAATACAACTTACACATAATTCAAAACTTTAATCAACAATTTCAAATATTTCCTTTACTGAGACTATCAGCTATGTAACATCAGAAAAAAAAATTACTTCCCTGAGACTTCACTTCCTTATTGATAACATGAAAGACTTAAACCAGCTGGCCTTGGGAAGTCCATTCTGAGTCTGAAATATCAAAGTATATAAGTAGCCTTCTTTGTCTTGATTATTCTAAGAATTTCTAGAAAACAACTGAAGTGACTCAGCTCACTTTTCTCCTCTCTGCTTCCAACCCAGAGCCAGGTAAGGGTGGATAGAAACCGCAAAATGATGAAGTGGTTGCTGGAGTAGGGATAAAGAGACGGAATCCAGGAGATTGTGGGGCCCCCACGAGGGCTATTGGTGAGCTGCCTGCACTGAGAGAAGCCATTTCTACTCACCCCACAGTCATTAGCTCCATCTCCACACATGCCCACATAATAGCTGCAGGGAAAAGGGAAGAAAAAAGGAGGGCTTAACACCAGGCTCGAATACTTGCCATCCTAACTAATTCACATGTGCGTGTGCGTGTGCGTGTGCGCATGTGCGTGTGTGCGCGTGCCTTGAGCACAATCAGGATGAAGAAAAATTACTTGGAGAGACGTATTCTCAGAGGAAGAGGCCACTGCATTATTTAAATGGTTTCAGTCATTCACATCGAAATGGTAGTGATACTGCCAAGGACGTCAGCAAAGACAGTTATCTCATACTTCGAAAGAAGTCAGGTTTGATTGTATCCAGCAAGTCCAGGTTTGAGTCTCTGCGATCCTGACTACACTTCCACACCACCGATGTGGAGAGCGTAACCTCATCCAGCTGGGGTTTGGTTTCTGAGTGCCGCTGAGAGATTAAAGTTCAGACACTCAGATGAGAACCATTCGGGAAATGGTTCAACAGCTCTAGGTAGAGACATATATCCATATTTGCGATACATCTTGACATGCATCTATACCATTTCGGTATGCAAATGTGACACAAATAGAAGAGCAAAAGTCAAGTTTCCGACAAGGAAAAGAAATTTCTAATGTGAAGTCTACCTTCTACCGTGAGTAAACAATATATTATAGGTACTGCTTAATGGCAATAACATGAGGGGACTTGGAAATGTCCATGCAAAGTAGAATTAAAGTACAAATTTATTTTAGGGCAAAAAATTTTTTGAAGGGCATACGTAGTTTTTCTCATAATAGGCATTTGAAGCCCCCCTGTATTTATGACTCAGCTGCATTTTTCCAAAAAGAGACAAAATGATAAAATTAAGGAAAAAAAGTAAAGTTGTCACAGAATTTTCTTATTAGAATAATGTCAGTATTAGGTCAAAAATGGCCAAATATAGACAAGTCCATATGATATGATTCAATCTAATAATGGGCTGGGATCGATGAAAATCATCCTATCAGCATTTACATTTACAAGTCGTGACTATCCACAGTTGCTGAAAAATGGCTTCCTTTCTTCAGGCTTAACACACATGTCTAGTCTCCGTATCACACCAGGAACCTTGCATCTCTTTAGTGTTCCCTGAATTCAGAAAGAGAATTCAGACAACCTTATACACATTGCCAGCGATACAGGCATGGAGAGGAAGACAGGGCATTTAGAAGACAGCCCATCCTGAAATGCCATGTGTCTTCCTGTGTTCATTTTTCTTTAGAATAATGTAACTTTCTGAAAATGAAGTAATTAAGTTGGCAAAGTTTGTCGAACATTTGGAAAAGTTAAAATTACTTTCTTCACCCAATATAGTACGATGATCATGCGCATGAAATAGTCATTTTAGACACTGATAACTTACCCAGCCCCAATGCATTTGTGGAGGTCAATAGGCAGTTTTTTGCTTGGGTAACAAAGAAATAATAGTAAAATGCAATCTTCTGATTTCACCCCCTCATCAATAATAATATAAAGTTTCAGTTCTTTCTCTTCCTTTTAACGTTCTAGAATCTGCAGCCCAGAAACTGTAATATTCCCAACAAGTAGTAGGCAGATATGGTCTTAAGAATGATATTACTCTGATGGGACTTGGTCATCTGTATTTATGAAGGAGGCAAAATGGACCAAGGCCACATAGAGTGAAAATGCCATTTTCCCTCTTCTTACCAAGAGAATCAGAACTCTTCAACTATCTTCTAATGACCCTTTCAGAAATAATTCCAGCGATCACGTGCACACTTGTTCATTTTTCTGATCCTGAGCTGTACAATGCTTCCCACACTATTTCTTTCCCCTGCATGTGAGCAGGGAGTCTTCCTCTCAGATATGTTTTACAGACCACAGAAAAATCCTCTTTGGGACTGGCAGCTTCTGAATGGCCTCAATGACCCACCTATTATTTACGTCGTTGTCTACCCTACTCCTTTGGATGTGGGTTGAGCCTAGTGACTGCCTTCCAAGGAAAAAACTTCAGCAAAAGTGATGGGATGTCATTTCTGAGATTAGGCTATAAACAATAGTGACCTCTTGGAGCCAGCTGGTGGAGTGGAGGTTAAGGCACTGGATCCACATGACCAACTGCAGTTAAAGTCCTGGACCCAGCAGCTTGAAAATCCATCAGGTATGTGTGTGTTTACACGCAAAATCCCAAGAGGAAAATAAAAGAGAAGGGATTGCGATGTTGGCCATTCCCCCTGAGGGGGTGATTTCTCATTTTTCCCTCTCTTTTCTTCTCTCTCTGGTGAGCACATGTTCTCTATAGCAAAACTAAATACACCAAAAAACAGTGACACCCCCCCCCCAGTGTTTCCTGCTTGCTCACTCTTATGGAAGCCCAATGCACACTGTGGACTTCCTTTTGCAATTGCCCATGTTGCAAGGAGCTGAGGATGACTTCTACCCACCAGCTAGTGCATACCAGCGACCTTTAGTCCAATGACCCACAAAGAACAAAATCTACCCAATGGCATGTGAGGCAAGTGGCAGTTCCCGACTCCAAAACTGAGAGGACCGAAGTTTTGGCAGACACCTGATAAATCCTTGTGAAAGATTCTGAGCCAGAGACTCAGTTAAATCATACCAGATTCCCAACTCACAGGAAAGTAAAGTCAACGTTATCCTAAGCCAGATATTATCCTTAGCCACCAACATTTCAGGTTATTTGTTTCAAAGCAATGGTTACTGAATTCAGTCTCCTTTCATGTAATAATCCCTACTTTAATTTCTGAAATTCTTCAATGAGGCTTGATTTCTGCCCAGGAGACATTCTTGCAAAAATGGTTCCATTCACCAGAATCTAAAAAGAAAACAATTATTTCAATAAGAAGAGAAAGAAGAACACTTTTAAAATAAGATAGCAGTCCTGAATAAAATCTTCCCTGGCCACTGATTTCATATAGTATGGGACGGTGTGTCATTAGACCAAATGTCAGGAAAAGGAAGGAGATTTAATGCTTTAATATTGAACTTCCATTGTACGTGCTTCGTCACAACTCCATTACCTTTGCCCAGACCAGTTTTCCAAGATGGGGTGACTTCCAGTTAATCACTAAGAAGCAGCAGCACATATGGAATAAATATACTTAAAGAATACAGTTCTATTTACTGGACACCATTTCCATAATAGTATCACAGACCGACGAGAGAACAACCAACCCGGGGTTGAGGAACAGGTTCTATTCTCAGCTGTGTCTTAACTAGCTATGCGAATCAGGCGATTGATTTAACCCCTCTGAGTCTCAGCTTTCTCATCTCTCCAGTGAGAATCAGGACTAAGAGCTTTCTCTTTTTCTGGAGAGTGTTTTGCTATAGGGCACATGCACTCTCCAGAAAGACAGAGAGAGACAGAAAGCGAGAAATCACCCCCCCAACAAGGAGGGATGGCCACTCCGCAATCCCTTCTCATCCATTCTCTTCTCAGGATCTTGGGCACGCATGCACACGCACCTGGCATGAGTTTAAGCCACCAGGTTTGGGACTCGAACTGCAGTTGACTGTAAGGGAATCCAGCAACGTAGCCATTACACCATCTGCTGGTCCCTTGAACTAAGCTTTCTATAAGTGTTTGGGGTCTAGATTCTGTGGGCCATGACCGGTAAGATGACAAAACTTTCCTTTTTTTTTTTTTTTTTGAGAGTGTTTATTTTGCTATAGGGCGCATGCACTTGCCAGACAGACAGAGAGAGAAAGAGAGACAGAAAGCGAGAAATCACCCCCCAGGGGGGATGGTCACGCCGCAATCCCTTCTCCTCCATTCTCCTCTCGGGATCTTGGGCACACACACACGCGCCTGGTGTGAGTTTAAGCCACCGGGTCCGGGACACGAACCGTGGTCGACTACGTGGGAGTCCAGCAACATAGCCATTACACTAACTGCTGGACCCGATGACAGAACTTTTAAGACGCTGCTGACAGATAGTTGCCGCCCCCAGCTTGTGCTCCAAGTATCTCCCCCATGATGACAGCATAACCCCATGCAGCCCTCTTTTAAAATAGGACCCACAGGGAACCAGCAGTTAGCGTAATGGCTATGTCGCTGGACTCCCACGTAGTCGACCGCGGTTCACGTCCTGGACCCGGTGGCTTAAAACTCACGCCGGGCGCGTGTGCGTGCGTGCCCAAGATCCCGGGAGGAGAATGGAGGAGAAGGGATTGCGGCGTGACCATCCCCCCTGGGGGGTGATTTCTCGCTTTCTGTCTCTCTGTCTCTCTCTGTCTGTCTGGCGAGTGCACGCGCCCTACAGTGAAAATCTCTCCAAAAAAAAAAAAAATAGGACCCACAGAGGACAAGATAACAAATGGTTGTGAAAATAAACTGCAAGGCCATTGTTTCCTCCTGCTGTCATTTAACAATCCAGACAGGAAGGGAAGGGCAGCTCAGCCTGACATGAGTTGGTGGCTTTCAGAGAGAATTTGACTCATAAAACAGGAATGTTTAGCACTACCTAGAGCTCCTGCCAGATGGGGAGAGACTGAAGGAGGGAAGCTTATATGGCACTAACCGCAGGAGTAAGAGGATGGGCCAGAACTCAAATCCTGAAAACAGAGGCTGCGGGTATGTGTGCAGCCAAGGAGCCATAGGTAGGGCAGGGGAGTTCTGTAGAGCAAGAGTCCTTTTTTTTTTTTTTTTTTTTGTTTTTTGGAGAGGCTTTTGCTATACGGCGCGTGCGCTCACCAGACAGGGAGAGACAGAGAGACAGAAAGCGAGAAATCACCCCCCCAGGGGGGATGGCCACGCCGCAATCCCTTCTCCTCCATTCTCCTCTCGGGATCTTGGGCACGCATGCACACACGACCAGTGTGAGTTTTAAGCCACTGGGTCCGGGACATGAACTGCAGTAGACTATGTGGGAATCCAGCGACATAGCCATTATGCTAACTGCTGGTCACGAGCAAGAGTCCTTTTGAGGGTGCTTATTCTCTAACTCTGAGAACTTCTGTTAGGAACTTTTTCATTGCTCTTTCCCCCCTTTTGGCCTCACTAATTAGTAGGGCAAAAAGATCCCTTCCTTTCTCTGGAACTTACTTTTGGAAGCAAGCTGTTGAAATGCTGAAATATCACTTGGTATGATTTCCCACTCATCGCAAAATGGTAATTGGTTCCTCTTCCCCCATCAAGTGCTGAACTGTTTCCAATGTTAATGCAGATTTCCTAAAATCAAAAGAGCAACATTTCTTAAGAAACATCTCTGCTTTCTTATGTTTTATGGAAGGAAATATGTTCCTGCCATGTAACAGCGTGAGGGTCAGCAAACACATAATGTGAAATTTGCCTATAGGAAGAAGACTTTCAAAATGGCCCTCCCAAATTATATGAGTACATGATATTTTGCCAGCATGGTGCTCTGGATTCTGTCCTGGGAGATGACACTTCTGATGTCAGCCTACAGAAAGTTTTTTTTTTTTTTTTTTCCTAGAGAGAGAGTTTTTTTGGTATGGGGTACATGAGCTCACCAGAGAAACAGAGAGACAGAGACAGAAATAGAGAACTCATCCCCCACAATCCCTTCTCCTCCATTCTCCTCTCGGGATCTTGGGCATCCATGTACATGCACCCAGCATGAATTTTAAGCCACCAGTGCTGGAATCAAACCACAGTCGACTATGTGGGAATCCAGCGACATAACCATTATACCATCTGCTGGTTCCCTTTCTAAAGTACCAATTAGAGATTACACAGAGGAACTGGAAACTTTCTTTCCTCTTCTTTCTTCTCCTCATAAAACTTTGTATTTCCTAAAATCTCTTTCCATTCATTTGTTCAAATATCATGCCCCATGTTCTTCACTAGAAAGTAGGCAGATTCTTTCTTCAGTGCCTAAGTCCTTTTAGCATTTGACCTTTGACTTCTCTGTGAGCCTACCCCAACAGGTAGGTGCCCAGATCCGTTTCTGTATCCTACATCCTATTACACCATTACTACTCCTTTTCCAAGCCCTGTCCCCTCCCCATCTTTCATCTGTCCTTGTGCCTCTCTGGGTGTGTTGGCGTTCCACCTGGGTCACAGCTAGGCAGAAGTTAGTGCATTCATCATGTCAATAGCTGTAGTATTTCATGCAGTATTTCTCAGAGGGTCTTACATTTTTGTAGGACTCTGAATTCAAATAATGTAGGAGGTGAAAAAATTTTATTCATTTGTGAAATTCATCTCAGGAAAAGCATTATATTTGCAAGAAAAAGAGTCTTGCTGTGCTGAACTGGGCAGCAAGGTAAGACAGCCTTCCCTTTCAACCCCCAGTTGCAAAGCAGTTAACAAATAACATGCTCTAAAACACTCTGTCTGAGACAAAGACATGCTGCTCATACTGGAAAGGGGAGAGGAGGATGTGCAGTAGAGGGAGCCAGAGAAGGGAGGCTTCTCCAGGTGATGGTTAAAAGTTCAGTGAAAGTGTCAAATTCATGAAGGAGGAGTGTGAAGGCCTGTTTGTTAAAATTAGCGAAGGATCCGAGTTCCATCCTGCTGTGAAATCCAGGCAATATGCATTCACTGACGCAGAAGCAAGTGGGTTCACAAGGAAATAAGGACCAGAAATCTGCAGAGAGCTTGGAGAGAACTGTCTTCGTTCACAGTCCATGTGACAGAAGTTAGAGCCAAGTTAACCCACTTGTGCACAGGCAAGGGGGAGGGCTGCACTGTAGTCATGCAGTTAAATTGTGCCATTCGTGTCCTTCCTTCACACACTCCTGATGGCACAAAGGCCCTCTCTATACTTTGCAACCTAATCTGAAAGGCTGGTGAGACTGAAGGAAAGGTGCACCTGGAAAGCCATCTTTCTGAATTCACACAGCAGCATTAGGTGCTGCCCCTACTAATGGCATGTCAGGCTGTAGCCCATTCTCATCGTAAGAAAGACTATTCTGTCATAAGAGCACAAGAAGCTTGCTATCAGGAGAAGCATTACACACGTTAAGTACATGTTATAGACACGGGACCACCGAAATGCTCTTAGATTTGTGTAGACTCAAACATACCGGAGTCTGGTTTCCTGCTCTGCAACTCATCAGTTCATGGTTTTGGCAAGCGTCCTTCTCTGACCCCAGCTTCCTCATTTGTAAAATGAATAGTTTGCCTAATGCATGTGGTTACTGCGAGGATCAAATGGGAAGTATAGCTGTAAATCAGTAGGTCTCAACCAGGAATGCACATTGGGATCCTTGGGAAAAGAAGTGAGGCCAGTTCCCATCCCAGATGTTCTAATTTAGTTGGTGCTACCTGCATTGGGGAAGCTGGAAAACTCTCCCAGGTGATTTTAATGTGCAGCCAGAGCTGGGAAGTGGTGGAAATGCTTTGCAAACTGTTGAACTCTGGATGGATGTGAGGGGTGATTATTGTGATGACTTCTTTATTTATTTGTTTATTTTTTGGAGAGGTTTTTGCTATAGGGCGCGTGCGCTCGCCAGACAGGCAGAGACAGAGAAACAGAAAGCGAGAAATCACCCCCCAGGGGGGATGGCCACGCCGCAATCCCTTCTCCTCCATTCTCCTCTCGGGATCTTGGGCACGCACGCACTCGCGCCCGGCATGTGTTTCAAGCCACCGGGTCCAGGACGCGAACCGCGGTCAACTACGTGGGAGTCTAGCAACATAGCCATTATGCTAACTGCTGGTTCCCTACTGTGATGACTTCTAAAACCAGGAGAAGGCTGTGCAGTGCCGAGGCTGTGTTCTGTTACTATTAGCTCAGGCCCACAGAGGGGCCTTCTAACATTTGCTCACATTTTTCTCACGTCTAGGCTCTTGGTTCTCTACCAGCTGCCAGGTCACAGAAGCAGGAGCAAACTCTTCTGGTTCATTGGCTTCAACAATGATCACTTGGCTGCTTTGAGGAATCATTTCAGAATTCTTTGCAACTGTAATAGCTGTTTGAAGGTTGTCACCTGAAAGACAAACAAACTTTGCATTATGTGCAAACCTCCACTCAGTAACCAGAATTGAGATCTCCCTCCTCTACTTTGTTTGGTGTTCTTTGGGAACATTTATTACTTTTTATGTTATTTTATAACCAGCAGTCTTCCTCTCTGCCCAAGATTACCTTCCTCTAGTGGCCAACTATTGTGTTCTCATCCCCCTCCTACGCTAAGTAACACCGTGTCCTGTCCTTGGGTATTTCCAAAACATGCCTGCATGAATAGAGAAATGTTTAAGCTCTTTATGACAGACCAGTCCTCTGGAGACAGCTCTTGGTGGGGAATACAACATATCCTAGCCTGTGAGCATAATATCCACCTCAGGACCTGGATTCCTGTAAAGCAGAGCAAAGAACACTTAGGGCTGGGCCACACGTGGGTTTGATGATCATAACCAGGCCTGGCCCTCTGATCCTGGACTGTTGACTAGAATCTCACATCCTTTACAGAGATCACACGGATTCTTGATGAGAGCACATCCGTTTTCATATTTAACACTTCCTGTGAGCCTGTTAATACTGTGTAGAGATCCTGGGTAGAAGGAATAGGCCTTGGATAAAAAGATTTGGGATATGTTCTCTCACTCTAAAGCTCCTGGCAGTGTCAGGACCCTACACAGGTAACTGGACCATGGGGGACAAACTCAACAGCAGAATACTTCTCTTTTTGCCTCTGTCACATAAACACATTCAGCTCACATGCCTTTTTTCTTATGTCTGAGATAGAATCAACTTGTCAGTCCTCTAGCAATACACACATACCTGTAATCATCACAGTCCTGATGTGAGCTTCTTTCAGTTCCTTCAAGACTGGTTTGGTTTCCCGTTTCAAGCGATTCTCCATAATGAGAAGTCCCAGAAATGTTAACTCTGACTCCACTTTTTCCCTTTGGTTGAGGAAAACAATCAATAATAAAGTGTATTTATGTAGTCTCGCCAGTGAGGTTTATTTCTTCTTTTAAAAAGCTCTTTCTGGGGCTAGCAGGTGGTGTGGTTGTTAAGGTGCTAGATTCCCACATGGCCAACTGTGGTTCGAGTTCTGGATCTGGCAGCTTGTGTTCTCACGTTCTCTCCCTCTCTCTCTCTCTCTCTGTGTGTGTGTGTGTGTGTGTGTGTGTGTGTGTGGTCAAATTAAAAATAAGTAACTAATAAATAAGTATTTTAAAAATAAAAAGCTCTTTTAAGTTTTACAAATGTAATACATATACATGTTTAAAATACCTAAGAAAAACTGGGCACTTCTAAGGAAATCCTGTCTCCAGTGTTCCTTATAATAGTTCCTGTCTCCATACCACCTCACCCCTCTCCTCTCTGAGGCAACTACGTGTAAATATTTTGCTGAATTTTCAAATTTTCAACACCATTTAAAAAAACATAATGTGCTTATCTTCTAACTCTTCTGTTAGTTTTTAAAAGACTGTTAATTAGATATTCATACATATGTATATATATTTTTTAATTTTCAAGAACTTTATCTTTTGATTTGAGCTCACAGTCATTTCAGTTTATGTGACTGACATTAAGTACATGCTACATACAAGACATTGTGGTAATAGTGCATATGGGATTATTCAGTACATATATGGTATCAGTCAGAACCCGAAAGAGTTTTCAGAATTTGAATTTGGGGCTTTGGAGTCTAATTGGTTTACATTAAAGTCCTACATTTATATAGGACTTCCTCTCTGAGATAGAATAAATCTCAGATGGTTTTTTTAAAAAGTAAATTTAAGGGCCAGGAACTTTTCCTGATTATTCATTGTTCATTTTGTCTGGTCAGAGTGGGGTTAAGATTGCAGGGAGAGCAGAAGGGAAAGGAGAGGGAACCTAAGGATTAAACTTCTCTGCATACTGTCAGTTAATTGCCCAGTGTTCAGCCCTAAATCTCAGTTCCACCATTCGTAGCACATGTCAAGTTTGAGTCTCAGCCCCTCTGGGGTGCTACATGGTGAGCCAGCTTTCTTCATGCCCTCTCTCTCTTTGGCCATGTGTATTTCTATAACTTCTTCCCTGTGGATCCAGTTACCACTCCCCCACCTACTTTATACCTTATAGGTTTGTGTTGCAATCTCAGATCTGCACTTAACACTTCTCTAGTTTCTTTTTATAGTTTCTTTACTATCATGGTAGTAGGATTTGAGAAGGAGAGAAAAACATGTGGTCAGTAAGCTTTCTTTACGAGAAAGATCAGAATTAGGTTTCTGAAATATAATTCAAACTTGCATGAGAACACAATTAAGAAACCTCTCTCTGGAGAAGAGTAAAAAGTGCTATATCATTCACTCAAAAGTCCATTTACTGCACAACTATTAATACTTTGTTTTAGATATTACATTAGACATTTGGTGACTACTTATATAATAAGCTGTGAGTCTTGTCTTGGTGATCTCAATGCATATAATAAAAGAAAATCTACCTTAATATAGAATTCATTGAAGAGTCTTCACACTGTTTAACTTCATCATTTTATATTAGAAATTAGATTAATATTTTCTCATTAACTAAAGCTAAATAAAGATGCAAAAATCTTCCCACAAATTTTTCTGTTTTCTTTTATTGTTTGTTTCATATAGCTTTTTATTTTGTTTTTAGCTGCTTTATTGCAGTATAATTGTCATAAAAATCTGCACATATTTAATGTATACAATTTGGTCCATTTGAACACATGGATATATCTATGAAACCATCCAAAACTCAAGGTAGTAAGAATATCCATCACTTCCAGAAGGTTCCTCCTGCCTCTGTTTGTTTGTTTTAATTTGTTTTTTAGTGGTAAAAATGCTTGATATCTCTTAGTATTTAAAATGTACAATACAGTATTATTAACTATAGACACTACGTTGTACAGCAAATCTCTAGAACATATTCATTTTGCATGAATCAAACTTTATACCCATGAACAATAACTTTCCACTTCTCCTTTCCCCGAGCCCTGAAAATTACCATTCTTCTCTCTGCTTCTATAAATTTGACTATTTTAAATATCTCATAAGATTAGGATCATGCAGTGTTCATTCTTTTATGCCTGTCTTATTTCACTTGTCACAATGTCCCCTGTGCCTTCCATCTTGCCCATATGACAGTATTTCCTTCGTTTTGAAGACTGAATAATATTCCATTTATGAATATGTAGTATAGTCTTTATCCATTCATATCTTGATTATTGTGAACAATTCTGCATTGAACATGGGAGTACAGATACCTTTATGATGTCCTCATTTTAATTATTTTGGATGTATACCAAAAAGTAAGATTGTAGAATTGCTGGATCACATGGTAATTCTATTTTAATTTTTGGAAGAACCTCCATGCTGTTTTCTACAGTACACACTATTTTAATTCCATTCAACAGTTTACCAGGGTTCCAGTGTCTCCACACTTAACTGAAACTTAACTTCCTTAAATACCTATTTTAACAGGCATGAGATGATCTCATTGTGGTTTTGATTTACATTTCCCTGAAAATTAGTAAACTGAAGTGATTTTCATATACCTATTGGCCATTACTATGTCTTTTGGGGGGGAGAAGGGGAGAATTGTCTATTAGATCTTTTGCTCATTTTAAAATCAGGTTATTTATTTATTTATTTTGTACTGTGTTCCTTATACATTTTAGATATTATTTTTTTCTTATCAGATGTATGGTTTGCAAATATTTTCCCCATTCTATAGGTTGCTGTTTCACTCCATTGATTGTTTCTTTTACTGTGTGAAGCTTTTTAGCTTAATATCTACATGCAAAAAAATAAAATTGGATTCTTATACCATACACAAAAATAATCTCAAAATGGATTAAGGACTTAAACTTAAATCTGGAACTGTGACATTCCTAGAGAAAAACATAGGCAGAATTTTCTAGACAGTCTTGGCAATGATTCCTTGGATGTGACACCAAAATCAAAATAGACAAATGTTTTTTTGTTTCTATTTTATCTCTCTTCCCTTGCTCACTGCTTCAGGCATTTTGGTTTTTTTGCTACTATGTAACATTTCCAGCAACACCTGTGTAAGGGAAATTATATTTGCTATTTTTTTCCCTACATTATATTTGCTATTTTTGTCCCTACAGTGCTCCTCTTTTGGATATCTGCATGCCTTGCTTTATTTTATTCAAATTTATATTCAAAGTGTCACTTGTCAGAGGATTTCCTTATCACCCCAAGCAAAATAATAACACTCTTGCTTTTTATTAAAATTCTCTGAACTCATTTTATTATTTTTAAGAGCATTTAAGAACTACTAGTGAGACAATATTTTGTAGATTTATTTTATTATGTACAAGGATATAAGATCTGTGAGGCCACAATTATTTTATTTACTTCTAAATTAATCCTCAATTCCTTGAGCATATAATACATAATAAAGTTTGATAGAAATGTGTTAAACCAATGAGGCATTAATTTTGATGTTCTATTTTTTTAGTTTGGGGTGATTTTATATATATTTTTTTATGACTTTAATTTTTCAAAATGTTCTTGATTTTCCTAATTGGAATATTTTTCTTAATATAATTTGTCTTTAAAAACAAACAAACTCTTGGGAACCAGTAGTTAACATAATGGCTATGTCGCTGGACTCCCACATAGTCGACCACAGTTCGCATCCTGGACCCGGTGGCTTAAAACTCACGCCAGGCGCGTGTGCGTGCGTGCCCAAGATCCCAGGAGGAGAATGGAGGAGAAGGGATTGCGGCATGACCATCCCCCCTGGGGGGTGATTTCTCACTTTCTGTCTCTATGTCTCTCTGTCTGTCTGGCGAGAGTATGCGCCCTATAGAGAAAAACTCTCCAAAAAAAAAAATAAAACAAAAAAAAAAAACCAAACTCTTCAACCTGATTAGAAATAGTAAATAAATTCTAACATGAATAATAGGCTCCAGATATTTTCTGGGAAAACTTGGAATAGTTGGAAATGTAGCACATTTTATCTTCATCTACTTGTTTTGTTATATTTGTAATACTGTCTATTGGCTCTTAAATGAGAACAACTCAGCTAAATTTGTATGTGGTAGCTGGGTGATGGCAACACTCCATCACTAGCTACATAAATCTTTCCTTCATACATGACCTTATAATTTGTTATTTAAATTTGTGTGTTTGAGAAATTACAAAATCCTATGTGTTATGTGCCTTTATGCTCACTCAAGAATAGCTAACACCTTGAATGTTAAATCTGAGAATGCCATTTATATAGTTCAAAGAGAGCTTTGTGACTCTATTTTGAAAATTAAAATGTCATGACTGAAAGGCTCCCTGTAGATCACCCAGCTTACATTTTATAGATGGAAGAATAGGCACAGAATAAGGAAGAGTCAATGATTACTGGTGATCTTAGAGTCAAGGGACTTGGGTTGCAAAGTAATGTTAAACCAAGGATATCTGTTTCTTAAAGGAAGAGGTTGATTGCATGTAAATGAGGATCTCTCCCAGCAACACAAATCAAACATACGTAACACATATAAGGGGTTTTCAAAAAAAGTTCAGGGACAATGTGAATTATAAAAAAATAATACATGGATTTCATTTTTTTAAAAAAAATTGCCTGAGGATATGTGTACTCTTAAGAGAGAGAAAAAGAGAGAGAGAAATCACTTTCCATATGAGTGATGGTCATGTCATAATTCCTTCTCTCCCATTTCTTATTCCTTTGAGTATTCTGGGCATGCAGGCACATGTGCCTAGTATGTTTCTCAAGTCTCCAGGTCCAGGACTCAACCACACAGTCAGCCATATGGGATCCAGCCATCTTCACTAACACCACTGGCTGACTCAGACTTCAAATATTTTTGCAACAAAATAAATCTGTACTTTAACTCCATTTTTCCATGAACTTTTTCAAATTACCACTAAATTATCTACTATTAAATTTCTACAGCATTTTTTCTACTCTTTGATCATACTTTTAAAATAACCTTTAAAACCTGAAAAACACTAAAAAAAATCTATAGAGTATTCTCTAAGGGCAATTTATTTTTGAAATATAATTTTTAAAATACTGAATTTTATTTCTTTTAAGTAATTTTAAAAAGAAATTTGCCAGAGATCACACGTGCTCACTGGAGAGAGACAGAATTTGTGTGTGTGTGTGTGTGTGTGTGTGTGTGTGTGCGAGAGAGAGAGACAAAGTGAGAAAGCACCTCAGGGGGCATGGGCACACTGCAAGCACTTCTCCAATCTCTCCCTCCTTTTAGGATTTTAGGCATGCATGTAAACATGCCCAATATGTTTCTCAAGCCACCGAGTTTGAGACTCAAACTGCACAGGTCCAGGACTCAGCCACACAGTTAGTTATAAGAGATCCAGCCACCTTAACCACCACGCTACTGGATGGCCCAAGGAATCCAAATTAAGCTCTTTAACTCCCTAAATCTGAAAGAGAAAATAGTATTGAGCCCAGAAAGAAGGCAATTCTAAAAGATCCTGAAAATCTTTTCAAGCACCAATGATATCCTTCTCTCAACCACTGTACATGTGAGATACCCAAGTAAATCAGTCACATAATGCTTTAAGATTGAAGGAATGTTAGCTGGTTTGGGGGCAATAAGAGCTAAAATTAAGGTAGGCGTGGTATAAGTACAGGGCAGAAATAATACGTAGGCATCTGGAAGTCAGACGATCTCAACTGCCATCCTTGTTCTGCCACCACTCAGTATTATGGCCTGAGCAAATTCTCCCCACCCTCACCTATAATTGCCCACTCCCAAATCAGAGGACTGGATGAAATTGATTATCTCCAAGGGTCTTCCTAGTGATTTGAGCTGTCCATTTGTCCATCTCTGTGGTTCATTCACTTCATGCACTCAGAGCCTGATCTACTGCCTATTTCTGAGTTTCTTACCTGGTTAAATGTCCCACTTCTGTAAGCTTCCCCATCGTCAAGGCTTTGTGGGCAAGTGCAATGACACGGAAGCCTTGCACTGTGTAATTCCTCAGTTCCTGTAAAAAATTCTTGGGCACTATCAGGAGAAAGAGAAGAGGTAAGTCTAAGGTCATGCTGAAGGCTGATCAGCAGCACCTAAGCAGGACTCCAGGATGCAGTCATTGTATTTTGTTTTAAGTTTCACTCCATAAACATGCTTTAATAGAAAACTTACAGCTTCAGCAAAGGCCACAATTTCATCAGTGTGTTCTTATACTCTATGGAAATAAATGCCAAAAATGTATCGGTCATCAACAGTGCTATGAACTGAATGTTTATGTCCCTCCACATTTATTTGTTAAAGCTTAGCCCCTACTGTGATAGTATTTGGAGGTAGATTTTTGGAAGTTAATTAGGTTATGAGTATGGAGACATCATGAATGGGATGAATATCCTAAGTAACTACACTTGATGATCTCTCTCCCTATAATGCGAAGATTCAGCAAGAAAGCAGTAGTCAACAAACCAGAAAGCAAGCCCTCACCAGGAATCAAGTTGGCAAGCCCCTGGAATTAGACTTCCTGCCCAGCAGAACTGTGCGAAATAAATGTATGTTGCTTAAGCCACCCCGTTTATGGGGTTTTGTTACAGTAGCTCAGCTGTTAAGACAAACTGGGCATTAAATACACTGACTAGACTCCGTAAGGACAGATCTCAGCACAATTTCTACTTGGATGTAATTAAAGGAACAGCCGATCAAATCAGGGGTTGACAAACCATGGTGCACAGGCCCAATCTGTCCCACTGCTTGTCTTTGTATTAAAGTTTAATTGCGACACAGTCATGTCCATTTATTTGTTTGTTATCTATGGCTGTTTTGGGGCTCCAATGGCAGGACTGAGTGGCTGAGACAGACACTTTATGACCAGAAAAGCTTAAAATATGTACTATCTGGCCTTTCGCAGAACACTTTGCCAAGTCCTGCTTTAGATCATAGATGACACAATACCAAATTTTGTGTATTTTGGCATGGACATCATGATTGCGTTTGGACATTTATAAAATATGTATGGTTTATAATGCTCCTATAAAATTATTAGAAGGATGCATAGCAGCACCACAGGAGGTATAATAGCTTAGGTGGCAAAATAATTAAGTTCTAGTTTCCACTTCACTTCCAACTGGCTCTCCAACCTTGGTCATGTGAAGTCTCTTTTCTGTACCTCAATTTCTCGTCTGTAAAAGGATAAGGTGACAAATCTCTAAGGTCCCATTTATCTCAGGCTTTCTGTAATTCTAAAATATTCCTGGAGGTGGGGATCTAGTTTCAAGAAAGCTCCTGGCTATCCAGTTCTTGAATACAGGAGGTAAATGAGTCGTCAAAGATGGTACTAGAACCTGCCACAGATCAGAAGTTAGGCTAATAGGAAGAACTGGAAAGGCCATCCAAAGAATAACGAGTGGCAAGTGACAAGTCTTACCGATAGAGCAGGAGTGATAGGTACTAGTTTAATTGTGAAGACGGTGCTCACTTAAATCTGTGAGGCTGTAATGAGAAGGCTGGAGTTCATGAGAACTCTAAGAAGATCAAAATTTAAAAGGGGGGAGAGGCACTTCTAAGATGAAAAAAGACTTCAAATAGAGAATTTAAAGCAATCCCTTGCCAAATCTAGAATTCTGTGCACAAGTTGACGGCTATCAGCCATCGTAAGGAAAATATAGATGAAAATCAAGAGGGAAAAAATGCCAATTTTATCCAAATGAACTCATTTGAATGCAGCGATACTCATAAATCTGGCTGCCACTTAGAGAGTGCATATGTGTATAAGACGGAAAAACAATACAAATCAGCTCAAAATCTGGCCCAGAAAGATGAAATTCCTGTGAAATGATCAATTGCCTTGCTCTACTACCATCTAATTTACTCTAATCGCTTTTTTTTCCTGGAAGATTTATTTTTCCTGTGTCCTCCTTCATCGATCTTTCTAAGACCTCGTCAGTGGACCCAGCCCCCCAAACATGACAGAGCACCCTGTCTGCAGAAGTAGTTTAGTCTCCTGACTTCTCTTTTGGGTCCCTCTGAATACTGCTCAATCTCACCCTCCTCTGACCCCTGCTAGCTCCCTGCTTCACTCCTGAGGCTTGCTTCATGGCTCCTTCCCCAGGCTGCATCCTGGTTGTGCTTTCCTAGCTGGGCCATGACGATACCTCTACTCTCCACCTCTGGGCCTCGACGTTACCAGCCCTGCCTTACAGGTCCTCAGGACTCACTTTCTACTGCACCAGAAAACAACCAGCCCTGCGCTCATGGATTATAGAGCTTTATGTATTTCCATGCTTTCTGGGTTTGGTCTTTTAAAATATTTTACCTCTTAAAGAGAAAAGTGTCAGGTAGTACCTGTTTCAGTTCGGCAGAACTGGGCCACCATCTCTGGGGCGCCTTTCATGTAGACATGAACATGATCCTCCCCAGTCAAGTGGGCCATCACGGACATCCTCTGCAAACTTGAGGAGAAGGGAAACTGGCGCAAGACGGTGATGGCTTCCACGGGACTCTACGAGGGCATCAACAAAAGGGAGCTTTAAAGGCTTCTCGGTGATTTTCTACAGATGGACTCAACAAAAAAGGGTTTCGCCTGCAGTGCACTCAGTGACATCACGAGGAAGTCTACTTGTCACAATATTAATATTTTTCTGCTACCTGTGAGGTAACTTTTCAGTAAGTTGCCTGGCCTGCAAAGCCCTTCCCTGGCTGACAGGAGAAACCCTAATCACCCTCCGGAACAAGCTCAGTGGTTATCCCTTCTGTGGTGCTTCCCTCTAAGAAACAGCATTTGCTCCCACCTTAGACTTCCACAGCTCTTTTCTAGTCTTTATTTTAGAATTTGGCGTGTTAGATGGCATGCATTTGTACCTGTGTTGATTTTTCTTTTTATTTTTTTCAAGAGATATTTTTGCTATAGGGTACATACACTCACCAGAGAGACAGAGAGACAGAAAGTGAAAAACACACTCAGGGTGGATGGCCACATCACAATCCCTTCTCCCTTCTTCTCTTGGGATTTTGGGGATGCACATTCACATGTGCCTGGCATGAAGTTGAAGTTGTCAGGTCCAGGACTTGAACCAAGGTCAACTACATGGGAATCCGGTGATGTAACCATTATGCCATCTGCTGGTGCCTCTATGTTGAATTTTCTATCAGTCCATGTGCTCCTCCAATATAGAACCCAGCACATCTAGTTTTCAATCCTAGCACAATGCTCTCGCATACACTGGTACTCAGTGAGTGCTGTGTAAATGAATGGGTAGATTCAGGAATGAAGGAATAACTAAACCACCTACAGGAATGATTACTATATGGCTAAATAATAGAAATATAAAAATAAATCGGGGGGGGGAACAGAAGATGGTGTAGTGGTTACATCTCTGAACTTCCACATAGCCAACCGCAGTTCAAGTCCCAGACCTGGTGGCTTGAAAATCATGCTGTGCACATGTGTATGCATGCCCAGGAACGAAAAAAAATGGGATTGACCCCATAGTATAACAGTTAAGTACTGAGTGGAAGGAGCTCGATCCCTCATGGCTAACCGTAGCTCAAATCCTGGCTCCAGAGACTTGAAACAAATGCGAGGCACATCTGCACACATGCCCAGAACGCTGAGGAAATAGAGAAAAAGGATGGTAGTGTGACTAAGCCTCATGGTGGGGGAAGGCACCTTCTATCCCTCTCTGGCATGCACATGTGCCCTCTGGCATTAGAAAAATTATCATAAGTGAAAGGAGAGTTTTAAGGAAAAGAGGTGCAGGATTGAAAGATGCAAACCATACCTGACTGGCTTTTGGTCCTGGTTTTATTACTATGTTTGAATCTGACATCCCAGATTTGCAAGAGTCTACATTGCGATCTTCCATTTTCTGTTATAAAATGAAAAGATTCATAAGATTCCTTGGAGAAAAATTTTAAAATAAGAAAGAAATATCTCTTATTTGCATAACACTTTAATCTTTTCAAAGCGCTTTTCACTTATTTTTCTTTCAGGCCAATTATCTTCATAGCATCATTGTCAAATTTCTGTTGCGTTGATTTATATTAAAGGTCTTACTGCAGAATGTCAAAAAAAGCCAGAAATACTGTGAATACATCTTAGCTAGAAACTGATGCCAGAAATGCTAGCGAAAGGTCAGCAGTGCTTCCCAAATGTTTGCATCTAGTAATGGGAGGCAGGGAAGGGATGCAGAGGCGATCTGCCCTCCGGGATTGCAGACCACAGTAGCTGTCAGATGAGTTAGGCTTGAGTCCCAAGATTGACATGGTCTTAACTGCTTTGTGCTATATCTGCGCTGCTGGCCTAATTTAGTTAGTGAGAGCCAAGTTCACAAGTTAGGTGCTGGCAAACTCGAAAGCATATTAGAAAGTGGTTTGTATTCTTTTGGATATTATGACAGTAGAAGTTAATACCAGTAAAAGCCAACACTAACCAATACTAAGATATGGGAAAGGCAGTCCTATATGTAAGTTGTAGAGGTCAGAAAATAGAAGATGGCCTCTGATCTTTGATATGCCACTTACCTGTGACATTTCCCTAGATCTCAATGTTCTCTGAAAGGTATTGCTATGTCCTCAAGCGGTAAAATTCTTAAGGATCTACAAAGATTAATCTCTCCACTCCCAATATTTAGTGGGAGCTTTCTAACTACCAAAGGATAGTTAACATGGGACTGCTTCCGGCCCAACTTTAAAATTGAGTTGTCTTGCACTTTTAGGCTTTGTTTGTGGTAAATACAACCGCTATAGTTCTGACAGAGCAATACTAACAATTTAAGTTCACAAACAAGACCTCATCTTATAGGTTATTCGTACAGGTAAATGGATCTTCCTCTGATGGAGAAGGGTCTCTTTTAGGACCAAGGTCAAAATCGCATACAAGAGATCTTCAGAATGTTCATGAAAATGCACATTATGAAAAAAAAATCTATGCATGATTTTCAAAATTTTTGGTACCAAAATAAACTCCTATGGTAATTCCTTTTTTTTTTTTTTTTCACAAAATGTTTAGTCTCCTAGAGTAGTTACAATGACTTTGTGCAACTCAGCTTCATGTCAGTTCCAGTGATGCTGGTAAGGACATTGCTTATAACTAGTACACTGATTCTTCTCCATCAATACCCAGTGAACTGGTTACTGATTCGTCTTTGTGTCAAAAATTTCTCCACAGCAAATGCTCTAGTTGTATCTTGCTGATATCAGAAATTTCCTTTTTTACTAGGTTTCCCCTTTTATTGATTCGGCTTCTAGCTAAAATTAGCATACTCTACATCGTTACATTAGCTTCTTTGTGAGGAGTGCTTCATGTACCGGCTTGCGTTTATTTCCATTCTTTCAAAGTATGTTTAACCACTGTTGGGTATTTTATGTATCATTGTAAGTAGCTTTTAAACGCTTTGGGAAAGTGGTAGATTGTAATTAATTGATTAATGAATGGAGACCTTCTACTATCTGGCACTTCATAGTGCTCAAAGCCCCTACGGGCTCATAATCTCAATGCTGACCACAGGTCAGTGAAGTTGAGAGATAATTAAAGGACGCCAAGTAGTGGCTCTTCATGTGAGATCACTCAGCTGGAGTGTGGAGGGTGAGGTCTCTTCACTGTGTCATGGCAGCCTCCAGGACAGGCATGTTCCCTGAGTTGCCATCACACTCAACTCAGAAAGCTGAACCATGTGGTACAAGATTGTTCCAGCTTGGTGTCTAGACCTGTGCTACACCACAGAGTAACTACCAGCTACTTGCAGTTTGATAAACTTAAATGAACTAAAATGAACCAAAATTAAAAATTCAGTTCCTCAGTTACATAGCAACATTTCAAGTGCTCAGTAGCCACGTAGGAACTGCTTTAGACTAATGGTTCTCTGACAGTGTTTTGGAGAACATTCGTACCTTGTTATGGCCTGTCTAGAAAGTTTTTTTTTTTTTTTTGAGAGTTTTTTGCTGTAGGGCATGTGCACTCTCCAAAAACACATAGAGATAGAAAGTGAGAAATCACCTCCCAGGAGGGATGGTCACTCCACAATCCCTTCTCCATTCTCCTCTCAGGATCTTGGGCATGCATGCACACGTGCTCAGCATGAGTTTAAGCCACTGGGTCTGGGACTCGGACCACAGTCAACTACAGGGGAGTCCAGTGACATAACCATTATGGCAACTGCTGGTCCCCTGTCTAGAAGGTTTTTGAGGTGAATGCTACATGTCATATTTCCTCTTGAATGGTCACAATATACCACAGTATATTAAAGAAATTCTACAGCCAAAAATATATTTAAATCTGTTTAATTAGCAGTTCCCAAATTTAGAGAACTAGGGTTCCATGTTACACTCATTAACAGAGCTCTGGGAGCAGAGATTGGGAAACTCTGGTAGGATTGAACCTTCATGTATACATTTTTATGACTATTCTCTGGGATTTTTAATCAAAGAAAAGCTGCAGCTCTCCCAGTAAGGATTCTTCACACTCTCCCATTCAATGAAACACACTACCACCTTACCCAAGCAGTCCCCTCAAACATTTTGAGGTCCAGAGGGTCTCCCTGGATGGTCCCATTGAGAAGGATCAGGGAATGGCAACTGGCCATGGCTGCGCACAGTGGGCTCCATGGCAAAGCCTTACCCGAGGCAAAGCTGTGGACTTCCTGGAAACTGGTAGAAAAGATAGTAAGTTAAAGTCTTCAATAAAATTAGTTTACATGCTGTGCCACTTAAATCTTACTCAGGTAGAGCTTCAGTCACCTAACTCTTAATGCTCAAAACCCTCAAGGACTCCCACGGTCTGGGTGGTAACGTCCAGACTCCTTGGCCTTCCACTCACTGTCATCTGCTCCAGCTCTACCTCCCAACAGCTCCTACTCCTGCTAACACCCTTCTGTCCTGGATTCTAGAGTTGAATCAAACTTTTCTATGTCCCTGCTTGTCCAGGGAATTCCCTGCCTTTGAGCTCCTGCTCACTTGGTTTCCTTCTCTCTCTCTCTCTCTCTCTCTCTCTCTCTCTCTCTCTCTTTCTTTCTTTTTCTTTCTTTCTTTATCTTTTTCTTTTTCTCTTTCTTCCTCCCTTCCTTCCTTTCTTTCTTCATTCTTTCTTCTTTCTTCCATTCTTTCTTTCTTTCTTCTTTTGTTCTCTTTTTCCTTATCTTTTCTTCTTTCTTTCTTTCTTTCTTTCTTTCTTTCTTTCTTTCTTTCTTTCTTTTTCTTCTTTCTTTTTTCTTTCATTTTGAACCAGAGTATTCTGCCTGCAAAATGTTTTATAAAACTTTTTTCTGAGAAAGATGTAAATTTTTTTTTTTTTCCTTCACAAAGTTTGGCCAACCAATAGCATCATTTCAGAGTCCCTGGCTAGAATGTCAGGGAACTGGGGAACTTACCAGGTTCCATGAAAGCAGCCCACATACTCCCAGTGTTGTGGAAGGCACATGAGTTTGGAGCTGCACCTGAAAACTCCATTTTGCTGACTAGAGAGCTGCATACCCTAGGCAGGAAGTACCCAGGTAGTGAGGTAGCAGGGATAGAAGAGGAGCTGACCTGGCGGGTATAGGCAAGTGAAAGCACGCATGTCTCTGAAGCACTCCTCACCACGCAGCCCTTTGGAGTCTGTCCCCACTCCCTGAAACTTCCAACCTGGACATCGCACCTCTAACACCTCTTTCTTTCTCTTTGACAGTGCGGGCTGGCATAGTTTACTCTTCTCTCTTCCCGCCTGAGAGCTGATAGTGAATGTGTCTGATTGTTTCTTCTCCCCAGCAAGCTTCAAAATGTTTCAGGCAAGGGACCAGCAGTTAGCGTAATGGCTATGTCGCTGGACTCCCATGTAGTCGACCGTGGTTTGAGTCCCGGACCCGGTGGCTTAAACTCACGCCGGGCGCGAGTGCGTGCGTGCCCAAGATCCCAAGAGGAGAGTAGAGGAGAAGGGATTGCGGCGTGGCCATCCCCCCTGGGGGGTGATTTCCTGCTTTCTGTCTCTCTGTCTCTCTCTGTCTGTCTGGCGAGCGCACGCGTCCTATAGCAAAAACCTCTCAAAAAAAAAAAAAGTAAAATATTTCAGGCAAGAGAAGGAAATGGAGGGGGGCAAAACTGCAACCATCTTTTCCCTCTGGTACTCTTCTGGCCAATAGAGGCCTTGTCTGTCTGGACACAAGGCTGGCCAGGACACCCAGGCAGCCAGAAGCAGAAACACGTGAATAGGACTGGAGCCCAGGAAGCCCCTCGAAAACCAGTCAAGAGCGCTCTTCTGCAGTATCACCCTACCTGTCTGCTGTCAGGTGTGCTGCACCTGGCTGGCTCAGCTTCTTCGGGAGCCCCTGAAGGATCCTTTCTCTGACTGACAGCATCTCAGTCACTGTTTAGAGCCCAGATAAAGTATCCAGAACTTAGAAGTAGAGGCCATGATCATTCAGGCTGAGAAGGCAAGTCTTCACCCGGAAGGAAGGAGCTGGCAGCTCAGGGACACTCTCTGGGAATGAATCCTTCCTCCCTCTCCAGCTCGGCTTTGGGGTAGGCATTTATGTGACTGTCCTCTTCTCTTCCTAGAGCCAGTGCTGGTCCATGTCTGTACAGTCTCTAGACACGCATCCTTCAAAACCCATCTCAAGTGCCATCTTCTTCAGGTGGCTTTTCTTGACTCATGAAATTTCAAAATTAATTTCTCCTTTACTCACCACATTATTATAAAAGCGCTGAAACTCACGCCGGGCGCGAGTGCGTGCGTGCCCAAGATCCCAAGAGGAGAGTAGAGGAGAAGGGATTGCGGCGTGGCCATCCCCCCTGGGGGGTGATTTCCTGCTTTCTGTCTCTCTGTCTCTCTCTGTCTGTCTGGCGAGCGCACGCGTCCTATAGCAAAAACCTCTCAAAAAAAAAAAAAGTAAAATATTTCAGGCAAGAGAAGGAAATGGAGGGGGGCAAAACTGCAACCATCTTTTCCCTCTGGTACTCTTCTGGCCAATAGAGGCCTTGTCTGTCTGGACACAAGGCTGGCCAGGACACCCAGGCAGCCAGAAGCAGAAACACGTGAATAGGACTGGAGCCCAGGAAGCCCCTCGAAAACCAGTCAAGAGCGCTCTTCTGCAGTATCACCCTACCTGTCTGCTGTCAGGTGTGCTGCACCTGGCTGGCTCAGCTTCTTCGGGAGCCCCTGAAGGATCCTTTCTCTGACTGACAGCATCTCAGTCACTGTTTAGAGCCCAGATAAAGTATCCAGAACTTAGAAGTAGAGGCCATGATCATTCAGGCTGAGAAGGCAAGTCTTCACCCGGAAGGAAGGAGCTGGCAGCTCAGGGACACTCTCTGGGAATGAATCCTTCCTCCCTCTCCAGCTCGGCTTTGGGGTAGGCATTTATGTGACTGTCCTCTTCTCTTCCTAGAGCCAGTGCTGGTCCATGTCTGTACAGTCTCTAGACACGCATCCTTCAAAACCCATCTCAAGTGCCATCTTCTTCAGGTGGCTTTTCTTGACTCATGAAATTTCAAAATTAATTTCTCCTTTACTCACCACATTATTATAAAAGTCAGGACTGCTTGTTATAGAAAGCAATGTTTACTGCTCCTTCTTCTCTCTCCTGATGTTTCTGCCTTAATAGTAACAGTTTTCAAGGCCTGCATTGTACCTTGGAGGTGGGAGTACTGACACCGTTTTATGTCTCTCAACAGTGGACTCCACAAGGTTGGAGACAGAGCGCTTCTTTTTGGATTCCCCCATCACACCTGCCCATACTAGCCACTCACAAAGTTGTTATTTATTTTTTTTACATTTTTTTTTCAGCCACAGGGCATATGCTCTCACTGAAGAGAGAGAGAGAGAAATGGAAAGTGAGAAATCAACTCCTAGGGTTGATGGTACTCTCTTCTCTTCCACTCTCCTCCTGGTATTTTTTTTTTTTGGCACACATGCACATGTGCATGACATAATTTTCAAGCCTCCAGGTCCTGGACTTGAACCACAGTCAGCCATGTGAAAGTCCAGAGTCCTAACCAGCATGCCACCTGCCTGTCCTAGCTGTTGATGTTTTTAATTAAGCAGAATCTTGATTACACTCTTTGCTCCTCAATTTATTCATTCAGCTCCTTAATTATGCACCTCATTCTATTTCATTTTTTCAAGTGGAGTTCGAAGATGTTCTTTCCCCGTCTGTTTCTGAATTTAGGCCTCAGTTAATTAAACAAGTAAGAATAATTGGGAGCTGGTTCCAAGCCAATTATCATATATATTGTATGTGACATCTATCCCTCAACACCAGAAAGATAGATTTGAGCTTCACCAAATGAACCTGCCAATCATAACTTCTACCTTGACTTGGGGACCTACCGGTTGTCAGCAGTAGGGACAGTGCCCCAGAGATCCAGCCCATCTTCGGTAAGAGTGCCAGTCTGAATAAGAATTAGAACTGGTATTAACATCAAACTTAAAGCTCTTCATTATATCACACTTTAAACAAAATACGGTTTCCAAGAAATTACTGTAGACCGAGTTGTTCAAATCTCTGATCATTAAGTTTGAAAGTAAGATTCAGCAGGGGGTACATGACCCCCAAAAGATCAAGTTGATAGGTGGTCCTGGTAACTATGACAACAAGATGCAAGTGTTTTGCTTTAGTTTTGTTCACGTATTGTTGTGACTGTCACTGTTGTTGAATGACAGAGGTTCAATACACGGAAATTCAAGCAGAACCAGTTTGAGTTTGACTTTTTAGTTGGCACCTGCTGTCTTCCCAAAGCAGAACTCAGAATAGATACATTATAGGGAACCAGCAGTTAGCATAATGGCTATGTCGCTGGACTCCCACGTAGTCGACCGTGGTTCGCATCCTGGACCCGGTGGCTTAAAACTCACGCCAGGTGCATGTGCGTGTGTGCCCAAGATCCCGAGAGGAGAATGGAGGAGAAGGGATTGCAGCGTGACCATCCCCTCTGGGGGGTGATTTCTCACTTTCTGTCTCTATATCTCTCTCTGTCTGGCGAGTGCACGTGCCCTATAGCGAAAACCTCTCCAAAAAAAAAAAAAGAATAGATACATTATATATATGATGTGTGTGTATATATAATATGTATAATTATATCTGTATACACACATTATATATACATAACATATATATTATATATAATGTGTATATATATATAATGTGTGTGTGTATATATATAATTTTAAGGACTGTAGTTCACAATTTGCCATCTGCTTTGTGGTAATTTTCTAAAAATATGGGTGACATGGTGACTGCCTAGATTGATAATTAAATGTTGATAAAAGGCTTTGAGACTACCAAGAAACGAAGTGGTAAGAATAAATCTTAATTAATCCCGTGAATGGGTTTTGTACTTAGATCGAGAGTAAAGTGGTCAGGACACTTGATTGGCTGTATTATGGAGTGTATTTGTCAGACAGTAACAGACGAAGAAAAATGGAGCTGGTACCCTCGCAGCACTTCTCATTTCCTCGCCGCTTCAGTCGTTCAGTAATTAGAGACCCTGGTGTCTCAGTGCGGTAGGCTAACAGCATCAGGCCTGCTTCAACCCCGTCAGTGGAGTTAGTACAGCTGCTCTAGCGCTGCCAGCAGAGCCGGGCAGCCCCACGCATCATGAATATCCTGTCCCACACTGACACCCGGGCCTCTGACACTCTTTTCTCAAGGTCATCTTTGTATAAGACACTGACCTTTCCAGTTTGCTTTCATGTGCCTCTTCGATTACTCTAATACCTCACACTAGCATAAGGCTTTACAGTGACGTGTTTACAGTACTTTCCATTTTGACAACCGAACGAGTAAGCCAAGCCAGATGGTCTCAGGTAGAGGAGGTATGTGCCATTCTAGGGCATGGTGGCCCTAAGGCTGGGCAGGCAGAACCAGAATCCAGCCCTTCCGTAGTCTTCTATCAGCTTAGAAATGGTAAGTGAATTCTGCAAGGCCTACGGACAGACAGAATCCACTCTGATTAAAGAATTCACGAATCTTTGTCTCATTAATTCAGCTGAACTTCACAAAGCAAGAATTAACATGCTTGTGGGAATTATTCCTTGATGGCAACAACTTTAAAGAAAAACAACAAAAAAAAGCCATTTCCCTCCTCTTTTCATAAGGGCTGCAGCCTGTGTGTTTCGTTTCCAATACCCTTGGGTTGTTCCATTTCAAAAAGAGTTAGAAACTTAATTTAAACTGAAATGTTTTCCTGATGACTAGATTATGTTTTTAAACATCAATATTTTGAACATAAAAATAGAGATGATATTGCCGCAAAGCAGAAATGGGACCATGTTATTTCTCTGGGTGAAAATGACCCTAAATACAATAAAACCAATCATAAATAGAAAGAAACTTCAACATTATAGTTGAAGTTCTAAAGGGAATAAGATAGAAAAAGAAAAACTCTTAGCATAAATACAAGCCCAGGCTTGGGTGAATTAGATAAAAAGAAAGACAAAACTTATGCTAGAGAACTTATACCAAACCAATATAAAATTGAAATATATATAGGAACAAATGCACTCAGCAGTCCGGTGATAGGGATCTTCTAAATTGAAGTAATACCAGACAGAAATTCAATTAATTATAGAATATTCTTTTTCAATATCCTGCTGACAGTTTCGTAATGTAAAAGCTGGAAGGAAACTTGGAGATAATGGTAGTTTAACCTATCTTAACAAGTCATACAAAAACTTAGTGTCAAATTCAACGTTAAGAGTTCTCATTTTGACAATTCCCAGTGGAAGAGTTCTTTGCTCTATAACACACAGAGTTTGGCCAGGTATGCCAAGGAGCAGTGGTTGAACACATGAGGATGCAGACAAAAAAGTTTTGTACAGAAAGTAAAATGAATAGTCTCTGGAAAAACTAATTTTAGAAATCGCCAGATACATAATGCACATATTTTATAAAGTTCCTTCCTACGTTCTAGACACTAGTGAGGCTGCTGGGTAAGAAGTAGGAATGCCTATCGGAAAACTTCCAAAGAGTTTTTATCTGGGCCTTAATCTAAAATGAAGCTATTGTTAAAGTGAGTCCTATTGATTCCTGACTGGTGGCGAGTGAGGACTTCCTCCGTTCAAGGAACTGGAGTAATCTAAGAGACATCGCGCTTTCAACCAGAGACTAAGATTCGTTAAGCCTATTCATGGGTGTCTCTCTAGCTGCTCATCTCTCACCGTTCTCCCTTCACTGCCTAGAACAAAGAGCAGTCTCTACAGTTGTCACCGATGGCCTCCTTTCTCAGTCCTCTCCCCCTCCCACTCTTTCTCACCGCTTCTCCCACATGACATACATTAAACACCTAAGAAGATGCCACTACTGGGCCAGCAGGTGGTATGGTGATTAAGGCAGCTGGATCTCACATAGCCAACTGAGGTTCAAGTCCTAGAAAAACATGCTAGGTGCATATGCACACGCACCCAAAATCTAGGGAGGAGAATGGAGAAGGAATTGGAGCATGGCCATTCCCTGAAAGGGGTGCTCTCTTACTTCCCCTCTATCTCTCTGTCTCTGTCTGTTTCCCACAAGTACAGATGTTCTATACCAAAAATTAAAAAAAAAAATTAATTATAAAAAATATTACTAGTCTTCTTTAAAAAAAAATGATTAGGGCTCCCATTCCCCTTCAAGACAAGGTCCCGCTCCTTAGCTTGGCACAGCAGGCCCTTAACTATTGCATGCCCAACCCTCACCCAACTTTGGTTCCAAATAGCCCCCATTCTAACCTCCCACACTGCCCTTTGCTTCCTACCTGCTAAAAGTCTCTCACACCTCTGTGCTTCTGAACAGCTTACCTCTGAGCCTAGGCCCTCACAGGCCCATTCTAAAGAGCTATAGTCTAAAATGACCTGCTGATTGTGGCAGGAATGGTACCTCCATTAAGTACACACTTGCGTCATGACCCATCTGCACTGCCTGCTCCCTCGCCGCCTCAGCTCGATGGTGAGCTTCTCCAGAGCTGATTACAGCTCACGAGTGGGACTCCTACCAGCACTGTGCCCAGCATTGGCTCCCTGCCCATGTGGGGTAGCTTGAAAATTGCAAAACCTGTGTCAATTATTAAATGTAAATGAGTTAAAGACGGATGACCCCGCCAGGCTCTCAGGGGTGAAAGCGGCCTGTGTGAGCTGACAGAAGAATGTGACCAGCCAGCAGGCTGCTGATGCTGACTCGCTCCAACCCCCATAGGAGAGCCACGGGAAGGTGTCCCAGACCCCAGAGCAGAATTCCCCCATCTGGCATAGACTCCTCCTCTCTACCCTTCCAGAAAGCATGGAGACCATGAAGCCTAGGGTTCTGCTCCTTGCAGAGCAGAGAGAAGGAGTGCAGGTGCGTGTACCACGGGCACTGTTTATTCACCCCTCCCTTAAAAGACGCAGAAGAGGAGAAAGGAATATATTCACTAAGGTTCTGGACAAAGCACTCGAGAAACAGAAATGTTCTTCACACTTTTTGCCTTAAAAAATTCAGACACAGGGGAACCGGCAGTTAGCGTAATGGCTTTCGCTGGACTCCCACGTAGTCAACCGCGGTTCGTGTCCCAGACCCGGTGGCTTAAAACTCACGCCGGGCGCGTGTGCGTGCGTGCCCAAGATCCCGAGAGGAGAATGGAGGAGAAGGGATTGCGGTGTGACCATCCCCCCTGGGGGGTGATTTCTCGCTTTCTGTCTCTATGTCTCTCTCTGCCTGGCGAGCGCACACGCCCTACAGTGAAAATCTCTCAAAAAAAAAAAAATTCAGACACAGAAGTTAAAACAGTAAGAAGTTGTTTGGAAACATAAAATGGGCACAAAGACATGAAATTTCATGAGAGAAAACATTCACATTGTGATGGCTAAACTGCTGCCTTAGGAGTCCACAAAAGAGGCTTCTAGAAAGTAGTTTTCACACTAGCACCCTGTGTGGCCATGTCTGGCCTCACAGAAAACCTGACATTTTCCAAGGCCCTTCTTGTGTGCCCTGAAATCATTAACCTCCCACCCTGGGAGTTAGGGTCATACTTTGTCAAAGCACACGAGGTTGATTTGGCCACACATATTGATTCTCTGTGGAGAGATACAGAAGATTTGCTTTTTCTTCAGCCTCTTCTGGGCATACACGATGCCTATGGTCAGGGCAGCCGGCAGCACGGGAGGAACCGTCACCGTGAGGAGGAGCAGGGACATGGACACGGTGTCTCTTGGAGGGACCTGGGGAGGGAAGGGACATACCTACAGGTTAGCCCAGCAAAACAGGCTGATGGCCTTCCCCGCACCTTCTCCTGCAACAGCACGGGAGCCCTAGAGACTGACTCATGTCTGGGTGGGACCAAGAGTTGGCATACCTAGGAATGAACACACCTCACACCGCAGCAAAGCAACCTTCCATCCCTGCTTCAAAACCACCCCGCCCTTTCCTGATGCTTTCTCTGTATCCCCTCACCCAGTGCCCACCCCTTCTCTGCTCCTCATAGGCCCGTGCACCTCAGAGCTTTTGGGTTGTAACATTGCACAGGGCGGTGTGGCTGTGGATTTATGAATCTCCCTCCCCCACTGGTCCACACACCCCTTAGGGGCAGTAGCTGTGGCTTATTCATCTTTGGAATCATCTTCAAATCCATCTTATTCTTCTGGCAGGGAGGAGATGCTCAGTACACACAATGAATGGATGGAAACTTGATAAAAACTAGCACCAAGGTTCTGCCAAGATCTCAGCACATATAACAGCTACAGGAAACCAACAAGAAAATGAGCTGCTCTCACTGGATTCTGACTCTGGAGCAGGCACTGTGTTAGGCTATACGTTAGTTAATTACTCCTCCCAGCAACCTTAGGATATAAATGCTGTTAGTTTCCCCATGTAACGGGTGAAGAAAATGAGGTTTAAAAGTTAAATTACTTTCTCAAGGTTACATACTAGTTAAACAATGAGGATCTGAACTCTAGCGTCTCTGGCTCCGGGGTACGAACATACAGCCAGTGGGCTTTACTGTTAAGCCAAGTCTCACAGAGTCAGGATCTCTGGCAGGTCCACAGAAGGTGCTTGCACAGTTAGGGTTAGGAAAATCAAATCACAGCGTTGTTTAATTTTCATATGCCTTACATATGAATGATTCTACTCTTTACAACCTTGCCTACGTTTTTATGAAATTAATCGTCATTTTAGCCATAAAGTTCTCTTTGGAGTATTGGAAACATAGATTTTAGTTTAGTAACAGTGGGTGCGGGGCACATTTTTGCCCAATCTCAGTTTACCACAAGATCTATTATTCCCCGTGTTTCCCAACGACAGACACAGAGGAGATGTGACCTGGACACAGTCTTGTCTAGTGCTGAATGTGCAGGTGGAGCCAGGCAACAAGCTCACGGGTTCTGACCCCCAGGAAGGGTCCTGGGATTGTTCTTGTAGCCTTAGGGTGTACTGGATGTTCAGTCCAGACAGAAAGTCTTCTTTCCCCATCAGCCAGGACTTCCGTGGAATATTTGCTTGCTTTTCTGCTCAACATCAGTGCTCCCCATTTGAAACTGCCACACTGCCTTACAGTCCAGCCCCAGTGGCCCTGACATTCGGTGCGGCTCTTCTCAGCTCCATTCTACGAGTGGCACGATGCTCTGGCCTCCTCTGCCCTCCTTGCCTTACAAGTGCTTCTTTGAGGCTTATTCCAGATAGAAATGCCCATTCAGACGTTGCCCTTTCACGTGAACATTCTCTCGAAATTCTTGTCTTTTCCCACCAATAAGCCTTGCCCCTACCCCCCCCCCCCCCCCACGCACACACTGATGTCACCAGTGGACACTGTAAGGCCATCCACATCTGTTTCATACCTATGCTTGGATATTCTATTCATGATTTCCTCTTCTTTCCTACCAGCCCACACGGTTACGACCCAAGTGGGTTTTATAAGGAGACTGAATAGTTCTCAGATGAATCATACTTAGGACCAGGAAGGACCTCACAGGTCTTTAGTGACAGCCCTCCCCTCCTAGGCCACCATCCATGTAGAGAGGCTGGATACGCTCTAAGTTAAAGGGAAGTGAAGAGCCATTAAACTCAGTGCTGTAAGGGCAGATATTTCATTTAATTTCAAACCCCAAACCAGAACACATGGGCAACCCACTGATGGCATAATGGATAGGTATTACCTGGGCACTTTCAAATACTTCAGGAAAAGGTTCAAGCTAGACATGGCATTCAAAGCTCCCCGCGATTTGATCTAGTCCCACCTTGCTAGATTTCTCTCTTAATTGCTTGCAGCTTCCAGATGACTCCTATATTTCTTTCTTTGTGTTCTGCTCACTAAAACTAATGTGTTCTTTCCGTTCTCTGATCTGATTAACTAAATTCTCCCTATCCTATTAGGCTTGAGAAGTGTGTGTTTTCTCTAAAGCTATTTGGGCTTGGGTATTGCAAATGCCATACTTGTAGTAACCCCTCACTCCTATCCAAGTGGTGAAAACACCCAGTGAACTTTGAGACTTTTCACAGCTATGCTATCAAATATGACTGAATTGTCACTAACCACACGTGGGGGTTGAAATTTAGATCAATTAAAATTAAATTAATTTGAAAATTTATTTCTTCAGTCACATTAGCCACATTTCAAGCGTTCAATAAGCACATGTAATTAAGCGTTACAATATTAGATAGTATAGACAAAGAATGTTTCTACATGTAAGAAGCTCTTTCAGATGACATTGATTTACAGAATGATAGGCTCAAGAGATGACCTTACCTAATGCTCCTGGCCTTATCTGACTCTTCTGAGTTAGGTCAAGCTCTCTAAGAAAGTACACTTGGTAAAGTTTTACCCCCCAGTACTTACTCCATGGTACATGTATACTCCTAGGGCATAGAAAAAACCCACAACACCAAGGCAGGCCAGGAACACCATAAACTTGAAGGCATCACTGTATAGTTTGAAGTTCAGAGGTCGAGGGTATAGGATGGATCTCACCAAGTCACCTTTGGCTGTATTATAACCTACATGGAGATAATTACAGGTTGAATAAGGTCCATTAATACAGTCTCTACCAAACCCAAAGGGGTTTAGATTAAAGGAAGGATTGGTTAAGAGAGTTATCTGAATATGGAATGAAAATAGCACTGGTCTGACCGAGCAGTGTGTTTGCATTCATTGTTGTTACAAGTCACCAAGAACAATCAGTGGCATTCACTTAGTTCTGTTTTCCTTTTGCTCTGAAAATCAGCCCTTCAATGGTTCATGCAATGTGGTTCCCCGCTTACCTGTGAGGTTGAGATTAAAAAGGACTAAGGAATCAAGAGTGAAGGTACCAGAGAAAATGAGCTACCAAACAAAGATTTTAAAGTGTATATGCATGTTAAAAAACAAAACAAAACCAAACAATTGACTGTTAAGAAAAAGGAAGCACAAAGTAAGTGATTTCTTAAAAATATATACATATAGGTACCTGATAATGTCAATCTTTGTTCTTAAAAATCTTCCAGAACTCGGCACCAGCAGATGGCATAATGGTTATGTCACTGGACTCCCATGTAGTCAGTTGACCATGGTTCAAGTCCTGGACCCAGCAGCTTAAAACTCACGCTGGGTGCATGTGCGTGCATGCTTAAAATCCTGAGAGGGGACGGGAGAAGAAGAGATTGTGGGATGGCCATCCACCCTGGGGGAGGGGGGGTGATTTTTCATTTTCTGTCTCTCTGTCTCTCTCTCTGTCTCTCCAGTAAGCACATACACCCTATAGCAAAAACCTCCCTAAAAAGAAATAATTAAATAAATAAATGCATAAATAAAAATAAAAATCTTCCAGAACCTCACTTACTTGGGATAACATTCAAATTTCTAAGCATGGTATTTGAGGTTTCCTTGAATATGACATACAGCCGTATTGTTGGACTTATCTCTTAACTACACAGTCCCAGAAGATGCCCATACATTTCCTCTTCTTGTTTTTTAGACACAAATGTCCTTTCAGCTCTGATATTAATTAAACCCTCCCCATCCTATCAGGTTTAGCTCAAAATACCACCTCATCCGTAAGCGTTTGCAGAATTCTATTCTAACACTTCATATAAGAAGATTTCTCTCACTCTTTAGAGAACCTGTAACAGTTGATAATACAACATCTATCATCACTCCAAGTTTTACTTCGTTGTAAATCTATCTGTCTCCTGCACCAGACTATAACCTTCTTTAAAGGAAAGGTAGATCTCACATAGTTGTTTCTTTAGCCTTCAGTGCATAGCACATAGTATAGAATGATATCTAAAATGACCAACTACTATTTAGTCTAGATATGAGTTAGTAATAGAAATATAAAATATGTCTTATCCCTGCTGCCTGATAGACACCTGGCCTCTTCAAATAAGGCTTCACTGCCTTAGGAAAAGAGGAGTAGAGCTTTCTCTAATCTACTGCCTAAGCGTTTTCTGAGTGTGCAGGTGGTTTCTGTGATCTTTAATAATTAGCTTCTGTTTAGGGAGCAGCTGAAGGCAGCAGGCAGGACTCACTAGTGAACATTAAAATAATTTGATACTTTAACTTTCTAATAAATCAGCTGGAACAACAGAATCATAGACCAAATTAAAACCTAGTGCTATCAAAGATGTGTTTTGCACCTGTGTGGGTGGCAGAACTACAGGTCAGGAGTGAGTATCATGGAAAGCCTTGGTCGTGCAACATCATGTGAAAAATTGGGACGAATATGGCTGGTCGTGAAAAGTTTGTGAGTATGGTATTTATGGACTGCTCCAAACTATACTTCGGGAATGAGATGTCAGTGACATTTTGAGTTATAGGTTAGAAAAAGGTTGAGGCAAAAGTTTAAAGGGACTAGCCAAAGACTATTTCTGTTATAATGTTATAGTTTAGATATGGAATGATGAAAACCTGCACAAAAAACAACTGTGTAGAAAAAGGAGACGGAACAGGACTCAGGAAGTACTTATACAGTCATCGGGATTTGCTGCTCATTTGTTATGAGAGGAAGCAAGGAGCTAAAATTGGTATTAAAAGACTAGCAGTTCAGTGCCATCTTGGGAGCCAACAGTGGGTGAAGATGGATAGTCATCAGGACTGGGCACTCTGGCATTTCCACGGCCTGGCAGAAGCAGGAGACAACACAGAGAGGAAGCCCCTGTGATTGGGGAAAAAAACCCACAATGACTAAAGCCTACCAGCCCTCCTCATGCTGGACCTGTGCATCCTGCCTCTCCCACAGAGCACGGAAATGAGGGCATTTCACAGAGGTGGCATAGGACCTGCCCCTTGGGTCTCAGACAGGCTCGCCTCCAGCCCCTCCTGGCAGAACTTGCCAGGGCCAGACTCAGGTTCAATGGGCTGATCCGCTCTTGGAAATGACAGGCAGGTACACAAGCCTGAATTGGATCAGAAAGGTAAGTCTATTTTTTGCCCCTCCTGAACTACTCTTTTCAGGGCCACGTTTGGGTCCTGAGGGTAGATCCACACCCAAATATTACAGACTCTACTCCATAAATCAAGAAAAACATGAACCCCACAAAATGCCTAAAAATCAACCCAGAGACACAAGAAATGCAAAAAGACAAAGAAATAGTTCTCCCTTACAGGACTACTGTAACTCCTCACCAATGGCAGGTAACATAAAGGAAAGCACTAAAATGTTGGGAAAGGAATTCAGAATATTAATCATAACAAAACTCAATGAGATACAAGAGAAAACAGACAATCAGTTCCAGGAGATGAGAAAATAATTCGATGACTTGAAAGAAGAGCTCCATAAAGAGGCAGACACCCTGAAAAAGTGTGAAACAGAACTTCAGGAGATGAAGGCTACAACACAGGACATCGAAATCTCTTTCAAAAGTATTAACAAGAGATTAGATCATGCAGAAGAAAGAACTTTCAAGCTTGAAGAGAAAACTGCCAACTTAGTTAAGCTGTCAAGAAGAATGAAAAATAACCATTAAAAACAAGGACAGGAGAGGCCAGTCCATGGTGTGATAGTTAAGGTGCTAAACTCCCATACGGCCAATTGCAGTCAGAGTCTCAGACTTGGTGGCTTGAAAATCATGCCAGGCATGTATGCATACATGCCCCAAATCCCAGGAGGACAATGGAAGAGAAGGGATTGCCATATGGCCATCCCCCAGGTGGTGATTTCTAACTTTTATTTTCCTGCTTCTCTCTCTCTGGCAAGCACACATGCCTGATGGCAAGAATCTTTTTTCTTTTTTCTTTTTTTTTTAAATGATGACAGAAACCAACAGGTTGTAAGGTGTTTAGGGCTCTGAATTCCCACAGAGTCAACCAAGGTTTGCGTCTCAGATCCACTGACTTTAAAATCACACCAGGAATATGTGCATGCATGTTCAAAATCCTGAGAGGAGAATGTAGAAGAAAAGACTGTATCATTGCCATCTCCCTTGGGGGGGCCAATGAGTGCATATACCCTATGACAGAAAACTAAAAAATGATGAGGACAACATATGGGAAGTTTTAGATACCATTAAGCAGTCAAATGTCTGGAAAATGGGCATTCCAGAAGGTGAAGAGATGAGTAAAGGTGTAGACAATCTGTTCCACAAAATGCTATTTGAAACATTTCCAAATCTAGAGAGATATACAGACACCGGACCCCAGAAATACAAAGGACACATCAAATAAAATTAACATGAGAAGATCCTCTTCATGGCACAACATTGACAAAAATGACAAAAGTTAAGGACAAAAATAATATTCTAAAAATGTCAGTAGAGAAATATTAAGTTATTTACAAAGGATTCTTCATCATCTTAACCTCAAACATCTCAGCAGAAACCATGCAGAAAAGGAGGAAATGGAAAGACTTATTCAAAATTCTGATGGGAAAACAATTTCAGCCAAGAATATTACACCCAGAAAGATTGTCTTTCAAACTGGAAGGAAAAATAAAATCATTCCCAAATAAACAAAAACTGTAAGAATTCACCAACACTAAATCAGCTCTTCAAGAAATACTTAAGATAGTAAAGCATCAGTAAAATAAAAAGGAGATCAGGAGAAATAAGAAAACATAAAACAACTAGAAAAATAATTAACAAAATGGTAGGAGAAAGTCCAAACAAATCAGTAATAATATTGAATGTTGGGCCAGCAGGTGGAGTGGAGGTCAAAGTGCTGGATCCTGCATGACTAACTCCATGGTTCAAGTCCCAGGCCCAGTGGCTTTAAAAACACATTGGGCATGTGTGCATGCATGCCCCAAATCCTGAGAGGGCAATAGAGGAGAAGGGATTGTGGCATGGCCACCCCCACAGGGAATTATTTCTCACTTCTACCAGCTCTCTGTCTTTGGCTCTCTTCAGTGGCCACAGGCACCTTATCGCAAAAATCTAAATAATGATGATAATAATAATGTTGAATGTTGATATATTAAATTCCCCAATTAAAACACAAAAACTGGATGAATGGATTTTAAAAAACAGTAGCTTTCTATGTGTTGCTTACAAGAAATACCCTTAATCAGTAAGAACATATACAGCTTGAAAGTGAAGGGCTAGAAAAAGTCATTTAATGCAAATGAAAAACAAAAAGAGCTAGAGTTGTGATCAGACAAAATAGACTTCAAGTTAAAAACTGTAAAAAGACAAAGAAGGTCACTCTCTAGTATTGACAGGATTAATTCGCCATGAAGATATAACCATTGTAGATATTTGTTTCTAATATCAGAGCACTCAAATAATAAAACAAAGACTGCTAGACCTAAACACAGAGAGAGAGAGAGGCAATGAACTAATTGTTGAAGGTTTCAACATCCCACTATCACCACTGAAAAGGTCATCTAGACAAAAAATAAATAGAGATGTAGGAGCTAAATGATACTATCAACCAAGTGGATCTGACAGACATTTATAGAACATTTCACCCAACAACTACAAAAATGCACATTTTTCTCAGTCTCGCACAGTACTTTTTTGAAAACTGAACACAATATGTCATGAAACAAATCTTTACAAATTTAAAAGTATAGAAATCATATCTA